ACCAACCTCGCCACTGTACACTGGAGAAGCCTGGTTGCTCGCCTGCTGCCTTTGGACTATGGCCCCATGTAAAAATACATCTTTTTCCCTGCAGAAAAGACTTATTCATGCTTTTCTGCCGGGTGTTCGGTAGATTCAATCTACCGAACAACCGCACGAATGAGTAGACCACCTGGGAGCTGGAGTGTGCCGGCAATTAACCTCCCTGAAGCTGCGGTTAACCGCAGCTTAATTGACGAATGCTGTGTGGCCGCCATTCGTATCACGAACACGAGGTCGCGGCCATTTTAAACATGCGAATGCACAGCGGAACTGAAATCGAACACAGTTTTGCGCGAACACTGCTGAAGCCGCCGACCATCCTTCTTGTTTGGTGAAAGTGCACGAACGGCCCGGTGTTCTGTAGTTTTGTTTGAGAGTGTTGTACCCCAGATAGGAATCCCATGGAGCCCATTCACATGAAACTGACTGTGTAAAGACTTTGGCTCCATGGCGATTAAACTGTATTCGTGTCGTCTGACCTAATAATGTGCGCTCAGACCTGAGCTATCTGGGGATATGTAGAACGTATATGTTTTATGTACTGAATGTAACTGTAGGTAATTTTATGTATTTTACTGTTTGTTTTCTGCCATGTGGTTAATGGAGTTTTGCCTCTGTCTTTGGAGATAATTGAATTACTTCTCAATTATCTCCAGGGCAGAGAGGAGGGATTGTGATGCATTGTGGGATGGTTGAAATGTGTAAGTCTGTGATTGGTCCTTTTACCCTTTGTGTCCCAGTCTCCCATTTGGTCCACTAGGGGAGTGTCCACCAGGTGAGCGACCTGCATAAAAGCCGGCAGTTAGCCCCAGTAATTCAGTTCCTGCTTAACCCTCAAAGTGAAGTGTCATCTCATTATTGGGGGAGGATTTACTGTATGCTGTTAGAGACTGATTGCCAGGAGTGTAAGCCGCTTGGGGGCTTTTCCTGTTCGTCTGCTAGCAGCTATTCGTGTGTCTCCAGTTCGGGAGTTTCGAGTATTCCCTTGGTATGCAGTTCGGGAGTTGAGTGGTGAATTTGTGTGGGTTTGCAGTTCAGGAGATTGGTGCTTGCAGTAGCTGTCGGTGCAGCTGAAAAAGGGGAATATCGCCTAAACGGTTTTTAACCTCTTTTGGGCAAAACGGTCCGTTACATCTATATTCCTTTATACTGTGGAGCTACCCCTACCCTCCTCTGTTTTTTTTTGTCTCATTTCCAATAGTAGGACTAGAGGGATTCCTACTTTGGGCAAGCTGCCGCTTCTCAAACAAATAATCTCTCTTAGATATTTTAGCGCTTTCCCTTTCCTTCCATTACCACACAATGAAGGCCAAATAGTTCCGTGGCCAGGGCAGGATTGTTGGAGGAACTTATACTTGCCCGGTGCTTGTCAAGCAAAAACACAGAATTAATAATCCATAAATATATAAAATGAATATTCCAGATAGCACTGCCAGGACTTTTTATAGAATAAAGCTTAGCTTTTAATGAGCTTTTAAAAAAATCAAGATTGATTTTTTAAAAGCTCATTAAAACCTAAGCTTTATTCTATAAAAAGTCCTGGGAGTGTTATCTGGATTATTCATTCTATACATCTATATATACATACATATATAGCTCTTATGCTCAGTGCTGCCCAGCTAAGCGCATCATCACTGAAGATCTGACACTGTGCAGTCATGTGCCAGAACTTTAGGGATGAGACTGGCCTCAGGCAGCACATGAGCTCTTAACTGAACCTTGTCATCCTCAAACTTTGTGGCACTTGCCACAGATGTGGAGCAGTGAAACTTGTGCATATGCAGGAGGTATGTACTGCAAGCAGTAGAGGGGTATTGGCAGATATGGGCGAGGAATATGCATGGTGCTGTGGAGTGTGGAATGTGTATGGGGGCTGTGGAAGGGGAATGTGTATGGGGGATGTGGATGCAGGAGTGTGTATGGGGGCTGTGGAACAGGTAGTGTGTATGGGGCTGTGGTGGGGGAATGTGTATTGGACCTGTGGCTATGGGAGGATATGTAAAGGAGCAGGGGGAGTACCAAGTCGAGCTGTGGAGAAGGAATGAGAGTGTATGTGGGACATTTGAAGTTGAGTGGTGTGTAGAGGGTGGCTTGTCGGTAGCCATCCCCACTATCACAAATTCATAGAATTGATTCCCACAATGGACCACATTGTACAAGACATGGGTGATTATAATTTAATTTAAAGTCACAGAGGCCCCTGCTTTATTGTTAGCCTTTCTCCTCATCCAGTAAGCCACATATGATAGATTGGCACTTGGCACACTGTGTAAAGTGTAGTATAAACCAAAATATATTTACTTAAACAGATTTAAAACAAACTAAAACAGAATATAAAATAACAACTCCCATCGACGAATCACACAGACATCCTGTTGGACCAGGACTATCTGCAAGTGAATTATTTTCCTATTACTGTGGACTTTCATATATTGGACTTTTTTGTACTCCTCTTGGGACTTTTTTATACTTATTTATTTGTGCACTATATTATAGCCTCCAGTAGTTTTTATTTATTTGCCTATTCTATTGTAGCGAAACCAACCTCGCCACTGTACACTGGAGAAGCCTGGTTGCTCGCCTGCTGCCTTTGGACTATGGCCCCATGTAAAAATACATCTTTTTCCCTGCAGAAAAGACTTATTCATGCTTTTCTGCCGGGTGTTCGGTAGATTCAATCTACCGAACAACCGCACGAATGAGTAGACCACCTGGGAGCTGGAGTGTGCCGGCAATTAACCTCCCTGAAGCTGCGGTTAACCGCAGCTTAATTGACGAATGCTGTGTGGCCGCCATTCGTATCACGAACACGAGGTCGCGGCCATTTTAAACATGCGAATGCACAGCGGAACTGAAATCGAACACAGTTTTGCGCGAACACTGCTGAAGCCGCCGACCATCCTTCTTGTTTGGTGAAAGTGCACGAACGGCCCGGTGTTCGGTAGTTTTGTTTGAGAGTGTTGTACCCCAGATAGGAATCCCATGGAGCCCATTCACATGAAACTGACTGTGTAAAGACTTTGGCTCCATGGCGATTAAACTGTATTCGTGTCGTCTGACCTAATAATGTGCGCTCAGACCTGAGCTATCTGGGGATATGTAGAACGTATATGTTTTATGTACTGAATGTAACTGTAGGTAATTTTATGTCTTTTACTGTTTGTTTTCTGCCATGTGGTTAATGGAGTTTTGCCTCTGTCTTTGGAGATAATTGAATTACTTCTCAATTATCTCCAGAACAGAGAGGAGGGATTGTGATGCATTGTGGGATGGTTGAAATGTGTAAGTCTGTGATTGGTCCTTTTACCCTTTGTGTCCCAGTCTCCCATTTGGTCCACTAGGGGAGTGTCCACCAGGTGAGCGACCTGCATAAAAGCCGGCAGTTAGCCCCAGTAATTCAGTTCCTGCTTAACCCTCAAAGTGAAGTGTCATCTCATTATTGGGGGAGGATTTAATGTATGCTGTTAGAGACTGATTGCCAGGAGTGTAAGCCGCTTGGGGGCTTTTCCTGTTCGTCTGCTAGCAGCTATTCGTGTGTCTCCAGTTCGGGAGTTTCGAGTATTCCCTTGGTATGCAGTTCGCGAGTTGGTGAATTTGTGGGTTTGCAGTTCAGGAGATTGGTGCTTGCAGTAGCTGTCGGTGCAGCTGAAAAAGGGGAATATCGCCTAAACGGTTTTTAACCTCTTTTGGGCAAAACGGTCCGTTACATCTATATTCCTTTATACTGTGGAGCTACCCCTACCCTCCTCTGTTTTTTTTTTGTCTCATTTCCATTAGTAGGACTAGAGGGATTCCTACTTTGGGCAAGCTGCCGCTTCTCAAACAAATAATCTCTCTTAGATATTTTAGCGCTTTCCCTTTCCTTCCATTACCACACAATGAAGGCCTAATAGTTCCGTGGCCAGGGCAGGATTGTTGGAGGAACTTATACTTGCCCGGTGCTTGTCAAGCAAAAATACAGAATTAATAATCCATAAATATATAAAATGAATATTCCAGATAGCACTGCCAGGACTTTTTATAGAATAAAGCTTAGCTTTTAATGAGCTTTTAAAAAAATCAAGATTGATTTTTTAAAAGCTCATTAAAAGCTAAGCTTTATTCTATAAAAAGTCCTGGGAGTGTTATCTGGATTATTCATTCTATACATCTATATATACATACATATATAGTTCTTATGCTCAGTGCTGCCCAGCTAAGCGCATCATCACTGAAGATCTGACACTGTGCAGTCATGTGCCAGAACTTTAGGGATGAGACTGGCCCCAGGCAGCACATGAGCTCTTAACTGAACCTTGTCATCCTCAAACTTTGTGGCACTTGCCACAGATGTGGAGCAGTGAAACTTGTGCATATGCAGGAGGTATGTACTGCAAGCAGTAGAGGGGTATTGGCAGATATGGGCAAGGAATATGCATGGTGCTGTGGAGTGTGGAATGTGTATGGGGGCTGTGGAAGGGGAATGTGTATGGGGATGTGGATGCAGGAGTGTGTATGGGGGCTGTGGAACAGGTAGTGTGTATGGGGCTGTGGTGGGGGAATGTGTATTGGACCTGTGGCTATGGGAGGATATGTAAAGGAGCAGGGGGAGTACCAAGTCGAGCTGTGGAGAAGGAATGAGAGTGTATGTGGGACATTTGAAGTTGAGTGGTGTGTAGAGGGTGGCTTGTCGGTAGCCATCCCCACTATCACAAATTCATAGAATTGATTCCCACAATGGACCACATTGTACAAGACATGGGTGATTATAACACACCATTGCATATTTCACGAATACAATTTTCATGAGTGTATTATCCACCCACAGCATCCCTTTTTTATTTTGGTCTGTCTGTTTTTGGTGCCTGATTTTAATATAGGGAGGTATTTTGATGTTGCTTGGCATAGGATAACATTACAATAATTATATTTGAATTCAGTAATTTTTGCAGATATCAGAGACATGTTCGACTATTATGTTGTTTGGAAAATATTATTTATTATAAAATGTACAGTACAATGATTTTAATAATATAAACAGAGTTTTGCATCAAAGTCTTTTAAAGACCAATAAATTATAAAATGAGACAGGTATTGTAACATTTTGTGTCTCATGGTAAGATTACAAATATGTAAAACATATGCAGAAAGCATCAACGGGTCAGATCGTTATTTGTTTGCATGTTAAAAGTTCATATCTCTCAAATCACAGTTCAGTGAAGATCGTTTGAAATTGTACATGATGAAATATTGACTCTGTGGTTGTACATACGAGAATCATTTAAGTCACTTACACATATATTACACATTTCAGGAAATTGTGTTCCTCAGAGTTAAAGATAACTATGATACTTGTCTTTAGACAAAGAAATAAACATATTACTGCAGCATGTCTTAGTATTAATACTTTTTGGTAGTAAGGTGCAAATCAAGCCATTATTACACTGTATCATACAGAAATATTTGCGGTGCATAATATGATCTTAGATTGTGAAATTTTAGATATTACAGAGAGTAATTCACTTAACAATACTTGCACATTTAAAATGGAGACATTTTCAAAAGTATTATTATTTACTTTTAACTCACAGCTACACACTGTCTAGTCAATCAGCTCCGTTGGGGTGTGTGTGTGTGTGTGTGTGTGTATATATATATATATATATATATATATATTTATATATATATATATATATACGAATACATTTTGGCCTGATCATTGTTCTCTTAGAGTGATAGAAATAAATGTTATTTTTTTTTTTAAATGTCTACTCTTTATCATGCATGCATTTGTTCTTCACCATAATCATTATTTAAAAAGCTACTTTTGGAAGTAATGATACAGTATATTGTGCACATGTATGGCAGTCTTGGGCATTTTACGGTATAATGAAAACATTCTTAATATATGTGTATGTATGTTGTTTTAGTGTCACTACCTAATATGTTTTTAGCTGTGCATTTATAATAGCCCATATCTCTTTTTGAAATGTGTTGAATTACTAATGTCCCTTGAGGGTGGAGAAATTTGTTTCCATATAAACGTGATTGTGCTAATGAAGTCAACTGAGATTTGTCAGGAAGATTCCAAGTTATTTCAGCTTTTGGTATTCCGATTGACATGCAATTTAACTGGACCGAACTGCCTGGTCTTGCATAAATAACAGGTGCAGGACTTGTTGTTATACGTGGTGGATATGCAATAACTATTACTGGGACACTCATGGTTGAAGAACCATATTGCGTTTTTGCTTTGCATAGATAACTTCCTCTATCATATACAGATGTATCTCGTATCACCAGGGTTCCATTTTGTAAAAGGGAAAAGCGGTCCTTGTTTTGTGGGCCATCAATAACCATGCCATTTGGTAATGTCCAAGATATATGGGGCTTTAGTTCCCCTTGGGTAGTGCAGTGAAGTTGTAATGTTTCCCCATTAATTATACTGATTAAATTGTTATAGTGGTTATTCATTTGTGGTTTACGACCAATCTGTAAGCTGACCATTTTGTCTGCATGTCCAGCCACATTTTGAGCTCTGCAACGATAAGTCCCAGCATCAGCAATGGCTACTGAACCAATATGTAGTGTGCCATCTGTTTTATGAAAAATTCTATGGAGATGATTACCATTTTTAATTACAGTGCCATTGGGAAGAATCCAACTTATCTCAGGCTCAGGTGACCCTGTAACTGAACAGTTAAGATTTACAGTCTCACCTTCTGCCACAACAATATTCTCATCATCTTTCATAAACTTCGGTTTTTCAGCTGGTTCAGTAACAGTCAACTGCACAATCAATCTGGCCTCTCCACCTTCATTACGTCCAATGCATGTTAAGTGAACAGAATCAGTTTTCCTTAGAACTTTAATGTCTAGTGTACCATTCCTGTGGACAGTAATTCTGTTTCCATAGTAAGGTGCAGGGAGAATGACTCCTTCAGGAAATGCCCACATGACACGAGGTGTTGGAATTCCTTCAGCATTACAGTCAATCAGAATGCGTGAATCTTTCATTGCAGTTTCTTTTACTGTGGCTATTTTATTGGAATGTCCATTGATTTTAGGTGGGAGGACATTAACTTGGATTTGAACAATCTTTTTCTCTTCCCCACCACTATTGTGTGCTAGGCATGTATAATTGCCACTATCCGACCTTTGTGCCTTTTGAATGAGTAGAGTACCATCTCTGTAAATCTGATACTTCTCTGACAATACAGGTATTGGTCTATTTGCAGGAGTTAGCCAGGTAATCTGTGGTAGAGGTTCTCCTTTAGCTTCACAGGAAACCGTAACAACATCTCCATATGGCACATTGATAATGGAATATGTTTTATTCTTAATAAAAGCTCGTTCTGCCACCACTTTAACGCTAACACGCATCTCATCTTGACCAATCTGATTCACTGCGTAGCACGTATAGTCTCCTTCTTCTTTCATTCCCACTTCATTGAAGTACAAGGTTCCATTATTAAATACTCCATATCGCTTTGTCCTTGAGCCGCTGTCATCTGACTGCATAACATTGTTCACCATGCTACCATCTGGTAAACTCCAGGAAATTTCAGGGTTTGGAACTCCAGTTGCTACACAATCAACTTTCAAATCCCCCCCATAAGTAACTTTGTGATCAATTTCTTTCTTATGTTGTATTTTAGCTGGTTTCATCATTACATTTACTTTGAGTACCACATAGTCATCTCCGAGTTTGTTCCGTGCCATGCACAGATAGTCCCCAGCATCCTTGTCTGTAACAGAATAGACGATCAGTGTGCCATTTGCAAATGTCTTGATTCTGGAGTCAAAGCTGTGTTAAGGAAAACAAAAGAAATCTTAGACATTGTAGAACAATTTATTCATTATCAGTAGAATTTCATGTAGCAAAGTTTTTTTTTTTTTTTTTGCTAAGGTGTAAAAGTAGAACAAATATCATGGGATCCAATGATGATCATGGAAACCAATTGACCATTCTTATTGATTTCTCCAATTTTAGAAATGCCTTATAGTTGTTAAACTGTATAATACATGTATGAATCCTCCATATAACCATAAACCATAACAACAGCATTGACTTTCATAAGTGGTATTAGTGAAGTGAGAAACAGTTTCTTCTTCAGGCTAAGTTATTTTTTCTGCTCTGCAATTGATCTATTTACAGGAGACATTAAACATATTTTTGATACATTTATATTTTTGACACATATATCCCATGTTAGTTTAGTATTGTGTATATATATTTAGCTTGATTAATACCATAGCCATCGCTACCACCTACAAGTAGTTGGAGTGGCGTGGGGCTAACTTCTGTGGTTTTACATAAATGATAAACCTACATTTATGATAATATTTAAAAGGTAAATATGCTTATTATGAATATTCCATAATCATTACAACTGGTGCTGTGTATGTTAAAGTATGTCTTTAGACTCAGCTAGGTGGATATTGGGACATTTGAGACTTTGTTCAAAGTCACACAGATTTTGTTTTCCATGCATTCATGCACAACAGAGATTAACAGAGTTATTCACTAAGGTGAGAATTCATAGTGAAATCAAAGTGAATTTTAAATATAGGGCTAGAGTAGACAAACTAAAAAGCATAGCTGAATTTTTCAAGTTTGGCTATTTTGACCTTACATTTGAAATTCAGAATTAATTCACCTTGAATTCTTTAGTGAAAAAACATGCTTTTTACATTCACTTTTAAATGATACATTCATTCATTCATTCACTTATTCCGATAGGTGAGCACACTTTGTTCCTGGGTTAATACACCACATACATTCTTCTACACCATAGATATATGCATGCACACACATCAATGTTGCATTGGCCCAGAAACTTCATGAACTCATAAAATGCATTAATACCGTTACAATAACACAAAAATAGACCTATGCACATATACACTAAATAGCACATTGCACACATGCATTTGCTGACTACCTACAGGAATACACCAATACATCTACAAACTATATGTATGCCATGCACAGAAATACAACCATTCATTATCACACAACACACAGTTAAATACACACAGAAACATACACATGCATTTACACCCAAATGCACATTTTCTAGAACACACCACACATATATTCACTTCCATACATTCATTAAATAATAATAAACAGTTGTTGAAAAGATCTCATAAATGCAATGAACTAGGAAAGGATTTTGAATATGCCTGCTCAGTTCAAATACAGAAAGAGTTTATAAATTATTGCATGCACAGTTTATATATCGTATGAGCGGAAGAGGTTTTTTTTTTTTTTTAATGTTTGCATGTCCAGATTATACATGCATGAGTGACAGTTTTGTACATACAGCAATAGCGTTTATTTGTCTACAATGTTCAGTAGATATGTGCTAGAAGAGTTGGGTTTATGCTGGCCTGAATTTGACTCCTCTCTATGTGCACAGCAAGATGGTTTTATTTTTGATTGTAATATCAAGTTAACGCATATGTGCACAAGATGTCTTAACATATGCCTGCAACACTCACTTCATATATGTACACTGGACAATTTAGTATTATTAATTTCTTTGTAGGTACTTGAAAATTCTATTCATTTAGGAGCTTTCAATGTAAATGCAGTCTGCTGGTTCAGGGCCCTGTTTCATATAATAGCACATCTTGTAGCATGCTTCCTGCGCATACCTGTCTAAAATATGTCCAAGAAAATATGCCAGTTTTAAATTTATATTAAGGATTCTACATATCAACGAGAAAAACAAACACATTTAAGGCTACTACAGCAAGGCTCCCACAGCAAGACTCCAACTTGTGCCCACTGGGCTACAAAATGCCACATCCAGGCTGTGGAGTCACTTGCTCAGGCACTTATTCAACATTTTTGATGTTCTATTCTTTATATTTTCAATTTGTTGCGTTAGCAATCTAACTCTGAAATAAAATTCATGATTATTTACCTGAAGAAAGAGTCCACAAGTCTTTTTGAAGGAAGCCGCCATAATATTCTTGGCCAAGGATCACCGGCTGCACTGCAGTCAAGACGCAGAGTGCTCCCATAGGTTACATCAGTTTTCTGGGGAGAAGTTGCAGTTATCTTGGCATTCTGTGTAAATTTCCGTACATCAAGAATGATTACCCTTCTAGAAGTCCCAACAATGTTCGTTGCAATGCATTCATATTTCCCAGTGTCCTTCTGTGAAATATTCCGGATGTAAAGTGTGCCATTTGGAAACACAAACATATTTCCATTTGCGAATTGAGAAGGACGAACCTGTGTACCATCTAGAAGAATCCAGCGAATATTTGGTAGTGGGGCACCTTTTGCCAAACAGTGGATATATATGCTGTGACCTTGAGGAAGAGATATGTTTTCTAACTTTTCTTGTTGAATAATAGGAGGCAGAGCAGCTATATGAACCCTCACAGTCAAACTGTCAGCTCCGGCCACATTGCTAGCCACACACTTAAAGATTCCTCTATCGGTAAATGTAATATCCTTTATGGATAAAGTTCCATTTTCAGAAAGCATGATGCGACTCTCCGTAGCTGAAATGGCTCGTATTATTTTTCTGTCAGGGAATATCCAAGATATATGGGGTGATGGTACACCACTTGCCCGACAATCCATTGTAACTGTATCCCCAAGATATACCGTAACATCCTTATAGCGCGTCAGAAGTATTTTTGGCTGCTGGGACATAACTGTCAATGTAATTATCATCTTGTCTGAGCCATGCAGATTCTGCGCCGTGCAGAGATATTGACCACGGTCTTGTAGCTGAAGATTTAGAATATGTAAAGTGCCATTGTCCAAGACTTCAAATCGTTGTATCTTTGTGTTTGCTGTCATCACGGCACCTATCAAAAACAATGAGAAATATCTTTAAACATAATGTTTATTTGTTTTTAGAAGTTTAGATTGTTAAAAAACATTAATGTAATAAAATAATATTGCCATTTTTGTTTTAATTTCAAATTTATTTAAAAAATAAATCTTTGAAAGAAACAAATAGAATTTGGTTTTGTAAGGAAATTTTATTTTAGTTAGTATTCTTTAAATATATATAGATTTCTGACTGTAAAACAAAACAAAACAAAACAAAAAAAGAAGATATGCATATGTGGTTGTTCTGGAGATATAAAATGTGCATGATACATTATATACAGTCAGGTTCATAAATATTGGGACATCGACACAATTATAATCTTTTTGGCTCTATTCACCAACACAATGGGTTTGAAATGAAACAATCAAGATGTGCTTTAACTGCAGACTTCCAGCTTTAATTTGAGGGCATTTACATCCAAATCAGGTGAACGGTGTAGGAATTACAACAGTTTGTATATGTGCCTCCCACTTTTTAAGGGACCAAAAGTAATGGGACAGATTAACAGTCATAAATCAAACTTTCACTTTTTAATACTTGGTTGCAAATCCTTTGCAGTCAATTACAGCCTGAAGTCTGGAACGCATAGACATCACCAGATGCTGGGTTTCATCCCTGGTGATGCTCTGTCAGGCCTCTAGTGCAACTGTTTTTAGTTCCTGCTTGTTCTTGGGGCATTTTCCCTTCAGTTTTGTCTTCATCAAGTGAAATTCATGCTCAATCGGATTCAGGTCAGGTGATTGACTTGGCCACTGCATAACATTCCACTTCTTTCCCTTAAAAAACTCTTTGGTATGCTTTGGGTCATTGTCCATCTGCACTGTGAAGCGCCGTCCAATTAGTTCTGAAGCATTTGGCTGAATATGAGCAGATAATATTGCCTAAAACACTTCAGAATTCATCCTGCTGCTTTTGTCAGCAGTCACATCATCAATAAATACAGAGAACAGAGAACAGTTCCATTGGCAGCCATACATGCCCATGCCATGACACTACCACCACCATGCTTCACTGATGAGGTGGTATGCTTTGGATCATGAGCAGGTCCTTTCCTTCTCCATACTCTTCTCTTCCCATTACTCTGGTACAAGTTGATCTTGGTCTCATCTGTCCATAGGATGTTGTTCCAGAACTGTGAAGGCTTTTTTAGATGTTGTTTGGAAAACTCTAATCTGGCCTTCCTGTTTTTGAGGCTCACCAATGGTTTACATCTTGAGGTGAACCCTCTGTATTCACTCTGGTGAAGTCTTCTCTTGATTGTTGACTTTGACACACATACACCTACCTCCAGGAGAGTGTTCTTGATCTGGCCAACTGTTGTGAAGGATGTTTTCTTCACCAGGGAAAGAACTCTTCGGTCATCCACCACAGTTGTTTTCCGTGGTCTTCCGGTCTTTTGGTGTTGCTGAGCTCACCGGTGCATTCTTTCTTTTTAATATGTTCCAAACAGTTGATTTGGCCACACCTAATGTTTTTGCTATCTCTCTGATGGGTTTGTTTTGTTTTTTCAGCCTAATGATGGCTCGCTTCACTGATAGTGACAGCTCTTTGGATCTCATATTGAGAGTTGACAGCAACAGATTCCAAATGCAAATAGCACACTTGAAATGAACTCTGGACCTTTTATCTGCTCCTTGTAAACAGGATAATGAGGGAATAACACACACCTGGCCATGGAACAGCTGAGCAGCCAATTGTCCCATTACTTTTGGTCCCTTGAAAAGTGGGAGGCACTTATACAAACTGTAGTAATTCCTACACCGTTCACCTGATTTGGATGTAAATACCCCCAAATTAAAGCTGAAAGTCTGCATTTAAAGCACATCTTGTTCATTTCATTTCAAATCCATTGTGGTGGTGTATCGAGCCAAAAGGATTAGAATTGTGTCGATGTCCCAATATTTATGGACCTGACTGTATGCTATGTACTTATTATGTACTATGAAAACTTAATAAATGATAACATAATAATAATAACAAAGATTAATTTATTTTGAAGGTAAATCCCGGGAATACTAAATAATACCTACATTATAGATACTGTATACCTGTGGTACACAAACATGTGGATTTTACTAGACTTGTGCATGGTGAGAAAATTCGGCTTCACCAAACCATTTTACCCCAAAATATAACTTTTTTCGGAACACTCAAATTTTGTCTATATCCCGGTCCAGTTTAGTAGAATTTTGTTAGTGAAAAACTGATTCAGAACCTGAATCAGATTAAACAAAATGGCGCTAAAATGGGCCAAATTTATATATATTTTTTACAGCTTTCTTTCCTTTCAATCACTTCACTCTGAATAAAATCAACATTTAGTGAATGTCCCTAGCCATCAATCATCTTTTTTTCCATCAATCATCTCATTTTTGGCACCACAGGCAGAATCCAGAATCACGAATCAAAACAAACATGCTTGGCCATTGGGCATTTTGGTTGGTTCATTTCGACCCTGATTGCATTTCCGACTTAAACAAATCTCCAAGTCTAGATGTTACTATGTTTCACCTAGAGAATCCAATTTAATCTATTGATGACAGTTTCATATTAAAATAATCTAGCTCGGGGAGCTCACTCTACAAAAAAAAAAAAAAAAAGAATGTCAAATAAATCTATTGCTACTTTTTTTGCTTATTTTTCTCTTAAATATTATCTAAGACATGGGATTTATAACTAACACTCAAAATAGGGAAACAAGTCAAATAATGCTTACATTGTTGTTACCTACATTTAAGGAAAACTGTCACCAAATATTCACATCTCGTTAGTAAATGTTTGTTACATTTAATGAAATTAAATAAAAAATTTTAATGTTGTAAATTGATTTTTTGTTGTGGGTCAGACTTATTATCTGATCAACTGCTACTCAACCTAATATGCTTTGCAATATGTTAATTCACAATATTATTCCGTGTTTGCAACCGTTACCATTTCTATTTATTAAGGGGGAAACAAATAATTAAAGGTTACAAATTATAAGTGGTCATGAAATATTTTATATAAGAAAGCTGAAATAAATGTTATAACCTATTGTAGGTGAGGAGCTAAAATTAAAGGGTTTCTCTGCTCATCATACAAAGTACAGTTTGCTGGTCTGGGCCCTCTAACTGGGTACTCATGGGTCTCCAAAGACCTGGTGGTCTTGTAACAAGTTTCTGGCTTCTGCAGAGCCGCAGAAGATGGAAGCTAATACCATCGCAATTCATTAGCTGAGACCGCCAGCTGACTGCTCTTAATCAATGACTGATACTCTGTGCAATTAAATCTGTGCAAAGTCAGCCCAATGATGTTGTCAGAGTTATATATGGTTGGAAGTAGAGGTGTTAAACTTCATATGTGCATGATTTCATATTGAAAAGCTACACATGCAACAACTCCAGGCACTCATGGTGCTTGAAGTAACGTTTAAAAAACTGTAAATATTTTGAGAATACTGACTCCAAATATACTACCAGAGGGAGAAAAGTATATATTCATACTGGTCGCATACAGCAAATACAGTAAATATACCAGCAAGGATAAAACCAGCCATCTGTATTTTATAGGACATTGCAAGCTGCAAATACGGCAGATAAGTATAAGTACAAAGCTCTAAGAGATCTCACCTTCCTGTGCTTGAAGAATACAGGATTGTACTTATTGAGCCTTGCAAACTCCTACACAATGTCAGAGAAGAGCATGCATTACATACAATGATGCATATACTGTATTACACCCATACCCAGTCACATTAGGGAAAATGTTATGACTAGGGACAGGAAATTTTAGACTTTTTTTTTTAATTACGGTACTTTTAAAAAAAAGTGTTTTTTAAAACAAAATTCAAAGAATTTACCCTTTCAGTGCTGATCACATACTGTATCAGTGATCAGTGTAATCAGTGGGCTGACTTTTTTGGGAGGGGTTATTTCTTTAAAAAATAAATAAATTCAAAAAAATTATCCTTTTAGTGCTTGATGCAGCTGTTTGACAAGCAGTAATTTTATTTTAATTTTCGGGTTGGATTTTCTGTGGGTGGAAGTGGGAATTGGGAGGTGGGTAGCATGTATTAGGCACATAGGCAAATTAATTAAATTATTCCCATAGTGTCATAGGTTAAATTATGCCTACGTTGGCATGCTATGATCAGGGCCGTCTATAATATGATTAGGACCCTGGGCAATGCATTTTCTTGGGCCCCATGGGCCCTGTCCCTGCCACTGCCTCACCCCCCAATTACGTCCAACCCGCAATCACACTGACAGACGTACTGGCACATACACACACAGACAGACATTAAAACATTCACAGATACATACTGACACACAAAGTCACTACACACAAATATATACTGGCAGACATACTGACACACACACAGACATACATACATACACAGACACATACATTAACAGATATACTGACACACACACAAACACATACACTGACAGATATACTAAAACACACAGACACATACACTGACAGACACATTGACACACACACACAGGCATACTGACATACACACACAGGCATTCTGACATATACACAGACAGACGTAATGGCTGATACAGACAGACATTAAACATTCACAGATATATACTGACACACACATACACTGACATACAAATATATCCTGGCAGACATACTGACACACAGACATACATACATACACACACAGACACATACACTGACAGACATACTGACTGACACACACACACAGACATACATACATACACACACAGACACATACACTGACAGACATACTGACTGACACACACATACACACACAGACATACTTACATACACACACAGACATACTGACACACAAAGACATGCTGACACACACACACAGACATACTGACATACACACAGACAGCGTACTGGCACATACACACAGACAGACATTAAAACATTCACAGATACATACTGACACACACATACACTGACACACAAATATATCCTGGCAGACATACTGACACACACGTACACACACACACACACACAGAGACATACCTACATACACACACACAGAGACATACACATACACACACAGACATACCGACACACACACAGACATACTGACACACACACACACACAGACATACATACACACACACACACAGACATACACACACAGACAGACCTACTGACATACATTTAGCCACCCTCCAGGTTCTTACCTTTTCCTGGAGGGTGGTTTCCCTGGTCCAGTGGCAGGCTGAGGCAGATGGGAGTTCTCCTCTGGAACTCCCCTCCTCCCTGCCTTCCTCCTCCCGCGCGGCTATCTCCGGTGGGAGGAAGTGACGTCACTTCCTCCCAGCCGGCTGCAGAACCGGAAGAGGGGCCCGGTCGCGCTGTTACAGCGCCCAACCGGGCCCCTGCTGACACATGCTCCCCGGGTGGCCCTTAGTGCATGGGCCACCTGGGGAGCCTCCTCAGTGTGCGGGAGCCACACCGCAGGGGCTGCGCAAATCGCGGGGGCCCACAGAGCAGCTGCTCTGGGCCCCCAGGAGCAACTGGGCCCGGGGCAGCTGCCCCGTTTGCCCCGCGTTAAAGACGGCCCTGGCTATGATACAGCAGAGGAGGTGTATGCCATTTTGGCGGGCTCTGATAATGGTACACTCACAGACAATAGCACTATAACAGCCTCTAACATTGAGCCCCTAAGTGAGTCATCCAGTGATGATGCCCCACCACCGTCTACTAGAAGTAGCTTAGAATGCCTAGCAGTGCCAGAGGAAAACTGTCTACCTCCAAACTGTCCCAGAAATTCCCCCATTTATGGCTACACCTAGCATTATAATAACAGTAGATATATGTGAGCCAGTGAACTATTTTAGCCTCTTTAGTTTGGATGACATATTTGAGCTGATACTTGAGCATACCGACTTGTTTGCCAGCCACTACCTTTCTGTGAATCCCGGGTCACATTGCAGTAGAAAAACCATGTGGCACCCCACTGATGTTAGAGAAATAAATAGATCATGGGCTCTAATCCTAGTAATGTGTATCGTGGAAAAAACAAGTACAGGGAGTGCAGAATTATTAGGCAAATGAGTATTTTGACCACATCATCCTCTTTATGCATGTTGTCTTACTCCAAACTGTATAGGCTCGAAAGCCTACTACCAATTAAGCATATTAGGTGATGTGCATCTCTGTAATGAGAAGGGGTGTGGTCTAATGACATCAACACCCTATATCAGGTGTGCATAATTATTAGGCAACTTCCTTTCCTTTGGCAAAATGGGTCAAAAGATGGACTTGACAGGCTCAGAAAAGTCAAAAATAGTGAGATATCTTGCAGAGGGATGCAGCACTCTTAAAATTGCAAAGCTTCTGAAGCGTGATCATCGAACAATCAAGCGTTTCATTCAAAATAGTCAACAGGGTCGCAAGAAGCGTGTGGAAAAACCAAGGCGCAAAATAACTGCCCATGAACTGAGAAAAGTCAAGCGTGCAGCTGCCACGATGCCACTTGCCACCAGTTTGGCCATATTTCAGAGCTGCAACATCACTGGAGTGCCCAAAAGCACAAGGTGTGCAATACTCAGAGACATGGCCAAGGTAAGAAAGGCTGAAAGACGACCACCACTGAACAAGACACACAAGCTGAAACGTCAAGACTGGGCCAAGAAATATCTCAAGACTGATTTTTCTAAGGTTTTATGGACTGATGAAATGAGAGTGAGTCTTGATGGGCCAGATGGATGGGCCCGTGGCTGGATTGGTAAAGGGCAGAGAGCTCCAGTCCGACTCAGACGCCAGCAAGGTGGAGGTGGAGTACTGGTTTGGGCTGGTATCATCAAAGATGAGCTTGTGGGGCCTTTTCGGGTTGAGGATGGAGTCAAGCTCAACTCCCAGTCCTACTGCCAGTTCCTGGAAGACACCTTCTTCAAGCAGTGGTACAGGAAGAAGTCTGCATCCTTCAAGAAAAACATGATTTTCATGCAGGACAATGCTCCATCACACGCGTCCAAGTACTCCACAGCGTGGCTGGCAAGAAAGGGTATAAAAGAAGGAAATCTAATGACATGGCCTCCTTGTTCACCTGATCTGAACCCCATTGAGAACCTGTGGTCCATCATCAAATGTGAGATTTACAAGGAGGAAAAACAGTACACCTCTCTGAACAGTGTCTGGGAGGCTGTGGTTGCTGCTGCACGCAATGTTGATGGTGAACAGATCAAAACACTGACAGAATCCATGGATGGCAGGCTTTTGAGTGTCCTTGCAAAGAAAGGTGGCTATATTGGTCACTGATTTGTTTTGTTTTGTTTTTGAATGTCAGAAATGTATATTTGTGAATGTTGAGATGTTATATTGGTTTCACTGGTAATAATAAATAATTGAAATGGGTATATATTTGTTTTTTGTTAAGTTGCCTAATAATTATGCACAGTAATAGTCACCTGCACACACAGATATCCCCCTAACATAGCTAAAACTAAAAACAAACTAAAAACTACTTCCAAAAATATTCAGCTTTGATATTAATGAGTTTTTTGGGTTCATTGAGAACATGGTTGTTGTTCAATAATAAAATTAATCCTCAAAAATACAACTTGCCTAATAATTCTGCACTCCCTGTATAAGGCCCTACTGGCACAATCACCACATCCTGGCTACCCCTCTTTTCCCAGAGATTGATAAGGAATCGCTATGAGCAAATACTGCAATTCCTCAATTTTAACAATAATGCACTCTCATCCCTAGTAATGACCCATTTTTTGACAGGGTCTACAAAATTCAGCTCCATATCTCACTCCTATCTGACAAATTTCCCCAAAATTATATGCCAGACCAAAATATTTCTATTGAATCTCTCATGAAATTCAAAGGTAGACTACTTTACATGTGGCATCAAATGTTATAAATTATGTGAATCTACTACTGGCTATACATGGGTGTTTTGGATTTATCAAGGGAATGATGACATCCATCTAGACCCATCAGGATGCCCTGATTCTGTGGGCACAAGTGGCAAGATTGTGAGGGGTTTGATGATTTATTTAACCCTTATATTACCCTTGTTACATAGGGGTTTTAAGCTATGGGTAAATTTAAACCTTGTTAACCCCTTAGTGAGCAGACCGGTTTTCAATTTTCTTACTATTAAGGACCAGGACTCTTTTTACATTTCTGCAGTGTTTGTGTTTAGCTGTAATTTTTCTCTTATCCATTTACTGTACCCCTACATATTATATACCGTTTTTATCGCCATTAAATCGTCTTTCTAAAGATACCATTATTTTCATCATATAATTTACTAGAAACAATTATAAAATATTATGAAAAAATTAAAAAAAAAAAACTTTTAATAACTTTGACCCCCAAAATCTGTTAGACACCTACAACCACCAAATTTTCTAAATGTGTTCCTTAGTTTAGAAATGCCCAATATTAACAAGTAGCACTTTGCTATTTCCAGTTATATTGTAACACTGATCTCTGTCAGGAATCCCTGAATAACCCTTCACATGTATATATTTTTTAAATGAAGACAACATAAGGTATTAAACTTGGGGTAATTTGACTCTTTTCATGCAACCATTTTACCACCAATCTATGCCAAATAAAAAAAAAATAATAATTGGTGATTATTATGACACACATAGCAATTTAAGAATATATGTACAGTAAACTTAAAGGGTTACTGCCAAAGAACACCCCAACATGTGTTCAGCAACAGGCCGGACTGGCCATCGGTGGCCATGGGCCGAGGCAGGCAGGGGAAGTTACAGGACATCCCCTGCTGGTCTATGCAGGGCCGGCACTATCCGAGCGCCAGCCCCGCTGTTTTCCATGAAGGGCCGGTGGGGAGATCAAAGATCTCCCTCACCGGCCCACTTTAATAGACATGCGACTGGGGAAGGAGAGGAGGACACGGCGGAGCTCTATTTTGCAGCTCCGCCGGGTTCCTCTTGCAAGATCCAGAGCGTTGCCATGGACCACCAGGGAGGATGTGATAGTGCCACCAGGGAGGATGTGATAGTGCTTCTCCCCCCACCTCCCATATACACATCTAAAATCGTATATGTATATATATAGATATATATAGATATATACACACACATATATAATTATATTTTTATTTATTAACATTTTTTTTATTTTACACATGCAGGTAGACTGCCTGTCAGTTCAGGCAGTCCCCCTGCAGGCAGATACACAGGCACCTATTGCAGCCATATGACTGCTCTATTAGAGTGATCCTAATTTGCAGAGGGAGGACTGCCTGGGCTGTTAGGCAGTCCCACCAGACCGGGAGCGACATCGATCACCAGCAGGGGAACAGCGGCGATCGGGTAAGTATATATTACTGTTATGACAGATCAGGACCATCATCGGTCCTCAAGGGGATGTTTTCGATGACGGTCCTGAACATCAGCGGTTGTTAAGGGGTTAAGGACCGTTTTTTGTCGGACATACCTGATACGTTCAAGGTCGGGAAAGGGTTAAATAAGGGTTATATGCTATGGGTTGAAAATTATTATAGCAGTATAGAGTAATGTATTTTTTATATAAAACTAGTGGACACACATGGATGTGCAAGTGGGAGAGGCTCATTTAGCCATATCCATTGATCCATCAACCCTTGACTCACTCCTGAAATTAGATAATATATATCTAATCACAACATACATTCGGATTCTAATATTGTATGAAACACATCACAGGTCAAATACACTTAAAGTTAGGAATCATTTAGTATCGTCTCCACCTTATTTTAAAAACTACAACTTATTACAAATGGGTAATTATCTTTAAAAGATTACCTGTGGAAACTTTTGTCCAAGATATTGAAGGTTTAGGCTCACCAACAGTTTCACATGGTAAAACAGCATCCATTTCAAAAGGCACAGATAGAGACTGGAATCCTGTAGTTGTAATCCTAGGTTTAACCCCTTGTGCTCTAGAGGATATAGGTGGCTGAACAACATTGGGATGTCTAAGTGTTGAGCCATCTTCACGTGATGCAATTGGTGGTCTATGGTTAAAGGGGTTATTATACGAGTGTGACTGAATAGTTGAGCTGGGCCTGAACAAGCTGGTTTGCACAACATATGAAAAAGGCGTAGTGAATATTGGGTACCTAAAAGGGATTTTTGAAGTTATTGTCTCTCTGACAGTTGTAAAAGGAGTAGTAGTAGTAGTTCTTAATACTGTACTTGATACTGTTGTTCTTTTAAATGAATTACCGAGACTGTCCTTAGTGCTCATGATTACTGGTGCAGCCAAAGTTGGAAGAGGAGATTTAGGAGTTCCACTAAATCGATATAGCTTTGTCCTGTTATAACGGTATTGAAATCGTGGATTCATGTAGAATGGATGTCCTTGATAAGGAATTTTTGGCATAGTACCTTTACCATCTGTAAATACATTATTTCCAAAAGGTCTGTAGTTAATTGGAAGCCTTTGGCCTTGATTAAATTTGCTTGGAGTTATAGGTCTTGGTCTAAATAATGGTGCAACTGTTGTTGTACTTGTTGAAGTACTTGTGGAGAATACTAGGGTAGATGTTCTTCTATCTTGAATGTTCTGTGCTGTATAAGCTGTAATTTCAGGTTTATTTGTGATATACAGTGGTTGATTAGTTACAAAATAACGTAGTGGTCCATGTGTTCCAATATAGGGAGTTCTTACAGTCACTCTTGCTGGACTATGCTGGACTGGAGGTATTGTGTGGTGTTGCTTCTGAGCTGTTTGAGACTGGCTATTCTGTTTTGTAAAATAAGGAATACTATTACTGGACTTAGTACCATGAATTTCCTTAAAGTTCTCTTGTCTTGGCTGTGCAAATTCCTTTTTTTGACTGGCTGAAACTCTATCCAGTTCATTTTGTCTTAGTGAATGTATGTTTTCTTGTACTAATTTTGCTGATTGTGTTGATGACTCTCTCATTGTGGTTTCATAAACCTTGGCTGTAGATGTTAAGTGTTCATTTGTAGTGGGAACTAAAAACCTAGGACTTGATTGAGTATATTCTGTACTCTTAGTATAAACAGTTGGTTTAATAAGCTTTTCCTCTTGTTTCTTTCCTCCATAAGATGTGTCTGGAGCTTTGAAATTATATTCTTCAACATTGACTTGTACTGTAGTTCCAATTGCATCATGGACAGATGCATTAGTAGGTATTATTGTAACTTTTGTTGTTAAATCAAATGAACCATAATTTAATTCTTTTAAAGTATTCTCAATTGTACTAGCAAAAGTTGGGGGTGCTTCTGTGATAGATGCTGTATATAATCCTGCCTCATTTGGTATATCCATCGGGATAGTTTTTTGATGCATGGTAGCACTAGTACTAAATTCCCTGTATGGCTGTAATGGTTTTCGTGCAATGTGTGTAGTACTGAATACATCTTCATCAGGAAGAGGGCTGAAGAATTCCTCAGGTGCCTTGTCCTTATATGTATCAAGTAGTAATTGATTTATTTTTGTAGCAACTGTAACTTGTTCTAATGTGTTAAGATCATATATTTTTTCAGTGTTATGTGTTTTTAATGGCTCTGTTGTTGTAGGAGGTGCCACAACCGGTAGTTCTGAATTTTCTATCATTGCTGTGTGTGGCTGATTCATGTATTCTGGAGCTGAAGTTACAAATGAACTTTTTGATTTGCTCTTTTCTGGTGAATGGATTACAATGGGTTTAGTCAGCACTGATGTTGTTGTAGTTTTTCTATCAGATGGAATATTAATCGTTGTTTTGTAAAGTTGCATTTCTTTTGTTGGTAGTGGTGGTGGTAAAATTGATTTTGTGGTGTTTTCTCTATGAGAGAGTGACACAATGGGTTGTTCAATTAATGGCTTTATGGCTACTTGTGTTGTCGCTGAAAAATTAGGAATAACATTGTTTTGACGATGTCTAAAACGATTAGGTCTAAATCGTCTCTTTCCATTGGGTCTGCGCCTTGGGTTATAAATGCTGCCATTTGTAGCCATGGAAGTTGTTGTAGTTGGTCTCTGGGTATGTGTAGGAACTGTTGTCATTTTTCTTGTTGTTGATGTTTGTCTGTCTTCTACGGAAGCCATATTTATACTCATAGTTGTACTTTCGTTTTCTGCACCGTTTTCTTTATCAAATGAATCAATACCTTCTTTTTTTATATTAGTAGAAAGGATTTCTGTTTGTTTAGCATAGTCTTCAGAACGAACATCCTCATTTATACCTTTAACAATATTTTCACTGGTCGTTGTCAAAGATACCGCTGTAGTAGGAAGTTGGAAGTTAATACTTGATGTGGTTTCCATCAGTGAAGGTGTAACAGGGATTGTTTCTGGTATCAAACCACCAATTGCTTTGGAAAATATTGGATCATAGTCTTCCATACCTTTAGTAGTCTGCATTTTGCTAGTTGTGAAATGTAGATAGTTATCTTCTATTTGTGAGATGTAGTTAGTGCTTTGTATCATATTTTCAGAAGTAATGCCTTCATAAGGAGATGTACTTTTAAAAGAGTGTGTGGTGGAATAGTAAGCATAATTTTCCATTGGTATTGTGTACATCTCAGCTGTAGTGGTTTCCATTTTAGCTAGAACATTTCCAGCTGTATTCATGTTTGCAAATGTTTGCCTATTAATTTCATTAGACTCTTCCTCTAGGTATTGTCCATATAGAACATTTCTGGTTGTATAGTCCTGTTTGTGTTCTCCTTCTACTGTTGGACTGTTAGGGATCATATCAATGCTGTCTTTATCTTCCCACTCAGTAAAAGCATTCATTGTTTCCTCTTCATCTATTGAATAGGCTAGGTCATTGATATCCAAGGTTTCAAGTGTTGACATCACAGGCTTGGATGTACTATAAACTGCCCATTCATGGTCTGACTTAGTGGTCAAGGTATCTTGATTTCCTTCAGAAAATAACTTTTTACTGTCATCTTCTGTTATATCAGACATTATGCCTAAATCTGTGTGACTTGACAATGATGTTAGATCATGGTTATAATGTGTGATTGCTGGCTGTGGTGAAGAAGTGATCATTAATAGTTCCTCTTCATCTGCAGATATTTCATCCACATTTGTTTCTGATTCTGTTGTAGATTTAATTGGTGGCTTTGAAATTGTAGAAGGGGTTTTGGTCTTATATATAGGTATAGCGGTGACTTCTGTTGTGGTTAAAAGAGGAGTCTCTGTGGTTTTGGGGACATTTTTGCCTCTAACCTTTGCTAAAATGTTAGCCCATTGATTAGGGTCTATCTGTTTATTCCCCATATTTATTCTCCTCCTTGATTCAAATTTCCTTCTACCTTCAGCTATATTGGTTCCTTTATCTCTCTCTGTACCTTTCCATACATTCATTTTCCTTCTGTCTTTTCTTTTTTTTCCTTTGTCTGATAATCTAGATAACTGAGATCCTTTACTTTTGCCTGATCCTATTTTAACAATATGATATTTCTCGGTCTCTTCTTGCACCACTTTTTCCCCTGATCCTTCATCATCACCAACTATATTAATCTTTGCTTTTAATGGTATTTTTATAATTGGACGCATTTTTATTTTTGGCACTTCATATGACTTTTTAGCAACTTTGTTACTTACGTCTATTTGCACGCTATAGTGATCAGTTCCATGTTGATTTGCTGCTATACATACATAGAGTCCACTGTCAGACACTTTAGTCTGAGGGATTACCAGTGAGCCATTACTTAACAGATATGCATTTGATTTGTTTGCCTGAGCGTCAATAATGACATTGTCGGGTAATATCCAGTTGACATCTGCATCGGGATTGGCAAGTGCATTGCAAGTCAATGTTATAGTTTCCCCAACCATTTTTGTAATCACTTTAGTACTACGCTCAGATATTTGGCTTGTTGGTGGCTTTACAAAAACTCGAATGGTCAATATATCAATTTCATGCCTGACTTGAGCAATGCAATGGTATGGCCCAGAGTCCATAGCATCTGCTGTTTTTATAATCAAATGTCCTCCAGCAGATACAGAGAATCTACTATCTTGGCTATTGAAGGGAGCTTTCAATATTGTCCCATCAGGAAGACTCCATTGTATGGAGGGAGTTTCTGATGACTTCACATTACAACTAAGCTGGCAGGTTTTTCCTTTGATAGAAATGTAAGATGTTTTTGTTTTGGCATTTGTGTCTATCATTACCCAGTTATTTTTTGGATACTGGATTTCCTTAGTATGAATTAACTGTGAATACTGAGTAGAAAAAGATAATATTACTTTCTTAGCTGTACTAAACTTTCTGTTTAACTGGAGACGAATAGTTGGTTGGATCACCCAGTCTGGTTCTGCTGTAATTAAAGATCTAACACCTGTAAAGTAATATGAATCTTGATCTGGGTTCTGTCGATATCTGTAAGTCACTTTTGGATTGTCCGTAAACATCAGTTCCCTTTCCAACTTCACAGGTACTTCACTGTAGTAAGCTATCAGTTTCCATAATTTTTCATAGTTTTCACGATTCATTGGGCATTCAAAATCAAGACTAAAGGTAGCATTTATATCTATTTCTTCTGGTTGGGGTTGATTCCAATTGATTTTACTGAAGTCAGTTGACTTTTTCATGCCACAATCCAAATTTACTTTGTTTCCGTGTTCATCGGTCATATTTAGAATGACTTTCCCTATATAATCTTTATACATATGCATCACCTGTTGGTCATTTTCATCATCTTCTGTATAGGTTTCACTACTGTTTATTCTGTCTGGTGAATAAATCACCGGTTTAGAACAGGAAATATCTTTCAGACTCTGAATTTCTTGATTTAGTAGTTGTTTTGGACTTGTACACATTGGACAAAGCTGCCCATTTTCATATGATCTGTCCTTCTTACATTTTAAAACACCTGCAAGAACAATGCAAAAATTAATGGTCAGAGAAAAATTCAAGTCACAAAGTTGATAAATAGAATTATGTCTATTGGCTTATATACTTTCTTATGTTTTAAGTAAAGCAGTTGCACGTTTTATTCTTGTTTGCGCCCCTCATGCAGTTTTGATTTTCTGAAACAGGTAAGCAGCTTTCACATAAATAAAAACGTTCTTCAAACTGTGCATAGATCTTTTTTTTTTTTTTTTTGTGATATAACTCATTTGTCTTATTTTGACAAATATTGCTAAACTTTTTAAAATAAAGTAACTACATTTGCCTTTCAAGGGTTCTCCTTCAGAATTTCTAACTGTAGAAAGAAGAAACACTTAAAAATTGAGGTTGAACAGTAAAAAGCAAACTTCTAAACTGATTGAAAATAATTATCTTTAGAACTTTTGAAAGGTCTTCCCTAATCACAGTTAGAATAAACTCTACTACGTAATAAAAAATGAACAATGCTAAAACTGACAATAAAATACACATAACATTAATCAACGATAAAATCTGTCCTTGACGTGCTAACCCCTATCTGCACACCCACCAGCAAACCTAAAATTTCAATTATTTTATGATAACCTTAACAAACTAAAAAGAACAAGTCAAAGAGCCAAATTATAGCTGCTCCAAGGCCAAATGAAAATGTTAGGACACTCTGGAGAAGCTCATTGAAGTGGACTGGGTGCAATGTCCCATATCCCTTAACCCTGCAGTGGTTATTATTTGTTATATAATTACCTCTCAGGGTTAACTCCACCTCTAGTGGCTGACGACTGTTTGAAACAGACCTTTGGTCCAGTATCTGATGCTGGACGTCCTCCCACTCTGTATGAGGACCTCCAGCATCATATTTTTCCCCATAGGAAAGCATTGATTTATGCTTTCCTATGGGGAAATCCTAATGCAAATGCGTCCATTGCCGCACATGTGCATTAGGTCTCCCCCATTGGCTGACGTCAGCGGGGGAGGAGCGGGGGTGGTTCCTGACTCAGCGCCGAGGGACATCGATGCTGGATTCAGGTACGTGACTGAAGGGATTCTAACCCCTTCAGCATCATGGGAGAGGGGGGGAATCAAAGGAGGGGGCCACTGTAGGGACATATAGTGCCAGGAAAATGGCTTTGTTTTCCTGGCACTTTAGAATTTCTTGAAACATAAGTGGCTTGAATGTGGCTATTTTTGTGCAACCTACAAGTGAATACCCAACAATTCATGATTTGCTAAGCAACAGTGACAGAGTAATTCACTTAACCCTGTCTCTGTTATAGTGAATTACATTTCATGGCAAATTTGAATCTAAAATAGTTGATATGGCAAAAAATATCCAAAGGTTTAACTAATTTAGCCTTAACTATACCACTCTAATTGAATTAACTAAAATGTAGTGTCTAGTAAAGAAACATTGTAATTGTAATTTTTTGACTTAGAAATGTCTATTTTAACATTAAATTTGCAATATGACAGTGCAGAAATAAAGATTTTAAAAAAATCATTAGATTTGCAACCCACAGGTAATCTATAAATTCAAATTAGTGTATGGCAGGGATTGTATTAAATTTCATAGGAGGTTATTATTAACTCAAACTAATTATGAAACTAACCAATAAACACAAGCATATAAACTGTCCCAACAATTGTTCTTACCATTAGATTGTTCATCCCATTCCAGGAGCCATTTTAAGTGGCAGTCACATGTCCATGGGTTTCCATGGAGATACAGGTTTTCCAGTAATGGCATAGATTCTATCATGCCAGCAGGGAGTGTTTGAATCAAATTTTCTGATAAATACAGGTGTTTTAATGTGGACTGTCTGAAATAATCTAGGAAATTAAAAGTGCAGAATGTATTGGCATGAAGCTGTTGAAGCAAATTTCCTTCCAAGTGAAGCAGCCTTAAAGATGTTAAGCCATGAAAAGCATTGGGGTGTATAAATTCAATTTTATTGTGGTCGACATGTAATCTTGTTAAGCTGAAAAGTCCATGAAATGTGTGACTTGTTAGTACTTTGAGTTTGTTGTAGCTCATTTTAAAAACCTATAAGGAGTAAAAAAAAAATGAATAAAAGTTAGTCCAAAATGAAATGGCAAACAATATTCTACTGTACAATTCAATAGCAAAAAATTAATAAAATAAATAAATTTAAAAAAAAAAAAATATATATATATATATATATATATATATATATATATGTGTGTGTGTGTGTGTGTATATAAATTTATTTATTTTACACACACACACACACACACACATATATATATATAAAAAAACAAAAAAATCTTGCACTGCACCAAAAAAATGACTATAATGCCCAGTGCTTGTCAGCCAAGAATAAAGAATTTGCAAAGGATAGCACTCCAAGGACTTATATAAAATATAACTTTTATTTACCTTTCAATAAAAAACGGTCAATGTTTCAGCTTGATTGGTGTCCTGATGAAAGCTTGAGGGAATCAAGCTGAAATGTTGACCGTTTGGAGTGCTTGGAGTGCTATCCTTTGCACATTTTGTATATATATATATATATATATATATATATATATATACAAACATCCAAACTCTGGCACACTGCCCAAAAATATTGAAACGTTATAAACACCAAGGTGCTTCTCTGTATAAATATAGAAAAAGCAAAAAACGAGAGCACTCACTGGATTTAACAAAATTGCTTGTATTAAATAGTGAACATACCAATCAACGTTTTGACCGTCTCGCGGTCTTTATCAAGATTGCTTTTTCTATATATATATATATATATATATACATAACTATTTTTTTTAAATTAATCCAGAGAATTGTGCGTAATGTGAATTATTGCAAAACTATTGGGTCAATTACATAGTGTGAGGATTACTGATTGATCCAGCACGTAGCATGTGCCACACCTAGGACTAAAAGGTAACGTCTTATCGGGCCTTAGAATGGCCAGACTTAACGTACCAAAGAATAGTCAAGATACTTGCTGAGGTCAGGGGACACAGAATGGGACACAACGATAAGGCAAAGCCAGAAGTCAGGGATGCCAGAATACAGGAAAGTCAAACGAAGCCAAAGTCAATAACCAGAAATAAATGCTCAGGAACACACTCTCGGACAACCACTAAGGGAAACCACGACAGGGCAATGAGAGAAAGTAAGATTGCGTTTAAATAAGACTTTTATATTTTTGATTGGTCGAAATCCGCCTTTGACCCCAGAAAGTGCGCGCGTGCCTACCGCCTGACGTCACACGCACGCCAACGTCGTCATCAACGTGGGCGGATTTTGGGGCTATAATTTGGCGTGGATACGCTGTGGCCAGCGTCCATCATCATGTTGCAGGGGACAGTTATACAGACGCACGGCTGCTGAGCGCAAACACCGCAAGGTGAGCAGGAATATGTTACACATAGAAAGTGAGTTATGGCAGATGGATAATAAAACACTAATAATTTTTAGGTTAAAATTGAGTTTAATTATAGTCAAAATATGTTTATTTGCATGGTGTTTATCATCCTATACATCTCCCTAGATACGTGTTAGTTAATTGCAATGTCAATCAGTCCACTGGCTGCTATGTGGTTTAGAGGAGTTGGTATATCACCTCTATAGCTACATACCTCACCTGTAATTTGATGTGTCACTGCAACACAAACAAAAGAAAATAAATGGCACTCACAATGTCCCAGGATAAATGTTTATTAGGCCTTTAAAAAAGCCATGTCTGAGCTGAAATGTTAAACAAAAACAAAACAAAAATCATAAACACAAAAAATAGTGGCAGACAGTAAAAAAATTATTAGCATTACTTTTGAGCTGTGAAAGGCTGAAGAAGCGTTGAAGCGTGATTTTGTGTATTGGATGTTAATATTAACTTTTTAACCACTGTGTACTGTTTACATTTTGAGTGCAAGGACACCATATGTGAATTTTTGGGTAATCCTGGTAGGAATTTTCCTGAAAAAAGCTTTGGGACAGTGAGTTTTGGATTGTTACGTTTGTGTAGTATGCAGGACAGAAGGCATAAACTTGCAGCGAACAGAATGGGGTGAAGGTGACCAGCAGGTCTGTTTATGGGTAAATGTTTCCTAGCATCAAATCCAAAGGGCAATATAAAAGGCAAATTGAAGCTGAGCAATTGTGGTGAGGGCAGCAACGGTTCATAGTGAATGGCAGGCCAAAGTCAGAGCAGTTGGCAATATGTCTGTATACAGCATACATAGGAAAACAAATGAAATGTTATGCCTACTGGGATACAGATAATATTAGGCCTGCAATTAAGTGGTTGATTCACGTTTAAGATAAAAGACGCCACCCTGCTGGCAAATAATGACTCCCCATCCATAAAGCCAGCTTTTTTTTTCAAGCCAGTTTTATGAATGGGGAGTCAGTGATTGGTTCAGAGTGACAGCCAATCAGTGGAGCCATTGCACAATGTCGCCTGAGTCTTCTGCTTTTTTAGAATTTGAGCAAGCGGAAGGACAAAAGATAGCAATCAAACAAAGTGGAGTAAAGCAGAGCTGGAGGAGAGAGTAGAGTGCTTCCCTTTAGGAGAGAGCAAGGGTCAGTTATGTGAGGTTACTCTAGGAGGCCATAAACTTTCCTGAAGTGATGGGTTTTGAGGCACTTTTTAAACGATTGAAGACCAGGGGAGAGTCTGATGGTGGTAGACAGACTATTCCAAAGGAAAGGAGCCACCCGCGAGAAGTCATGCAAGGGTGGGTTGCGGACAGGAGAAGGTAATGAGCAGAGTGGAGAGACCGAGAAGGGGCATACCTACAGATCAGTGAAGAATTATAGGAGGGGCTAGAATTGTTCAGTGCTTTATAGGTGTACATTAGTACATTAAATTGACTTCTATAGAATACAGTAAGCCAATTTAAGGACTGACAGAGGAAAGAGGTGTGAGAGTTTGCCAAGAGAGGCAGTATAAAGAGAAAATAGAAGGGGACCAAGTACAGAGTCTTGAGGGACTCCAACAGGGACAGGACGAAGGGAGGTGGTATCATTAGAAAAGGAGACGCTGAATGAGCGTATGGAAAGATAGGGGGAAAACCAAGAAAGGACAGTGTCACAGAGACTCAGTGATTGAAGAGTTTGGAGAAGGAGAACATGGTCAACAGTGTCAAACGCAGTAGAGAGGTCAAGTAGAATTAGTATCGAGTAGTGACCTTTGGATTTAGCTGTGATTAGGTCATTAGTGACTAGCCTGATTCCCCAACTTTGCAAGCCCATTCCTTCAGTGAGCAAGCCTGATCATCTGCAAAGCCTTATTCCCCAACTTTGCAAGCCCATTCCTTCAGTGAGCAAGCCTGATTGTCTGCAAAGCCTGATTCCCCAACTTTGCAAGCCCATTACTTCAGTGAGCAAGCCTGATCGTCTGCAAAGCCTGATTTCCCAACTTTGCAAGCCCATTCCTTCCCCAACTTTGCAAGCCCATTCCTTCAGTGAGCAAGCCTGATCATCTGCAAAGCCTGATTCCCCAACTTTGCAAGCCCATTCCTTCAGTGAGCAAGCCTGATCGTCTGCAAAGCCTGATTCCCCAACTTTGCAAGCCTATTACTTCAGTGAGCAAGCCTGATCGTCTGCAAAGCCTGATTCCCCAACTTTGCAAGCCCATTACTTCAGTGAGCAAGCCTGATCGTCTGCAAAGCCTGATTCCCCAACTTTGCAAGCCCATTCCTTCAGTGAGCAAGCCTGATCGTCTGCTAAGCCTGATTCCCCAACTTTGCAAGCCTATTACTTCAGTGAGCAAGCCTGATCGTCTGCAAAGCCTGATTCCCCAACTTTGAGAGCCCATTCCTTCAGTGAGAAAGCCTGATCGTCTGCAAAGGTAGCCTTCTGGAAAACAACACTAACACTCTATCCTGCACACCTTCATTTATTTTTAACTTAACCACCCTGTACATTTATTTTATTTTATTTAATATATCCTGTGTACATTTTATATTTTCTTGTTTTCTTGTATTTATATCTTGTCTGTTATGCTAAAGTGTAGTTTTGCTAGCCCTGTATGTAATTGTTTTATTCATCTATATGCATTCCTCTATTTCCCCTCTGATTTGTGACTGACCTCTGACCCCTCCCTTTTCTTATTGATATATTTGTTTTTATTTGAATATCCATCTCTTCATCTCTGTACCTAGATACATTTCCCCCTCCCTTACCTTTATCGCAAGCTCGCTGACCCTCACATCTCTTTATTCAACAGTCTGATTCCCCAACTTTGCAAGCCCATTCCTTCAGTGAGCAAGCCTCCTGTGTCTGTCTCCCTCCAAGTCAACGGTGCTACCATCAGCTCCACCATGCAGGCTCGCTGCCTAGGTGTTCTCTTTGACTCCGACCTCTCCTTCAAGCCTCATGTTCAATCTATCGCCAAATCCTGTCATTTCCATATCAAAAATATTGCGCGCATCCGCCCCTACTTAACGCCAGATGCGACTAAGGTCCATTCCACTGTCTTTCTCGCCTTGACTACTGTAACCCGCTTCTCAGTGGTCTTACGTGCTCCCAACTTGCGCTGTTACAGTCCATAATGAATGCGGCGGCGAGGCTTATCTTCCTGTCCGCCCGCACCTCCCATTCCTCACCCTTCTGTCAGTCCCTACATTGGCTTCCTATAAAATATAGAGCTCAATTTAAAATTCTGGTTCTTGCTTTCAAATCTCTACATAATGCTGCTCCCACCTATCTATCCTCCCTTATACACAAGTATGTCCCGTCTAGGCCCTTACGATCTGCTGAAGACTTATGTCTATCTTCTGTCCGTACTCCCACCTCTGATGCTCGCCTTCAAGATTTCTCGAGGGCTGCACCGTTCCTGTGGAACTCGCTTCCCTCCTCCATTAGATGCTCACTCAGTCAAAAAATCGTTAAAAACCCACTTCTTCATAAAAGCATATCAATTAAACTGTTACTAGCTCCTGACTGATTCTTCTTCTGCAACTGTCACTAGTCTAATACTATCCTTACCTTTTTGTGTCATTTTACCCCACTCCCTCTAGCATGTAAGCTCATTGAGCAGGGCCCTCAACCCCTCTGTTCCTGTGTGTCCAACTTGTCTGGTTACAACTACATGTCTGTTCGTCCACCTATTGTAAAGCGCTGCGGAATTTGACAGCGCTCTATAAATATCATAATAATAATAATAATAAATAACCCTGAAGAAAAAATACAAAATATAGTATGCATGTTTTCTACTATTTTTTTTAATGAAATGTTCTTAATATTAACCTTTGCCTCTGATTTCTGAAGAGTTTTTTTATCATTATTGTACATAATCTATACATCTCTAATGTCTTTAAAGTATGAAATAACAAATAACAAATAGTACCTGCAATGAAATCAGGTCTTGAAAGGCACCATTGGGAATGTTATGGACTTCATTGCTGTGAATTAGAAGCATCTCCAGTTTTGCTAGTCCTGCGAAAGAGTCCTCAGCAATACTCTGAATGCTGTTGAACCTGACAAAAAGACAAACGCAAATACTGAACTACTAAACCCCAATTTTGGAACCTTCTATCAAACTGCTGCTAACTGACATATTCTACATTGTGCATTTATTAGAAGAAAATGTTATTAGTGTATAAAGAAATTTAATTATGTATGATGCAGTTTGAGAATGTTTTGCTTTTATTTTGGAAATATATAAAACTAAATAGTATTTCTCTGAAATCATCTTCTTAAAATTAAATGCCATTTAGATAAACAAAATATTCATGCTTAATACAGGCCTGAATTTAGTAATTTTGCATACACATTTCAAAGGATGTAGTATTCTGAAAAAAGTTTTAATAGCTTAATACTGATATATATTTTATATATATATATATATATATATTTTTTTTTTATATATATATATATTTTCACATTTTGAAAAAAACATTTAAAAAGTTTTTCAAACAATATTAAATAATTTGAAAAGCTTATCAATATTAAATCGAGGCCACAGATTCTAATAATTCTTGAATGGTTTTGGATAACAAATAAAAAAGGTTTGGAAATCCCAGAAAAATACACACATAAGTCTAAGGCCTAATAAAATTAATTGGTACCTGCCACATCAAGCATTCCAACGTGTGAACCGATGGTTTCCTGTCTAGGAATTGTGGATTGGATATCAAACTACTAATTTGAGGAAAATACCCACTGTGCTTTGCCAAATTATCTGTTTAGAACTATTAATTAGCTTGTGCATAATAGTCATGACAGCGTAATGTCTCAAATCGTGGCAGAACTAATGTAGAGAGAGACCTGCTACAAGAATTTTTTAGGCTACCCTCTAGCACAGGGATGGCCAGAAGGTAGAGACTCATCTGTTGTGCAACTGCACTTGAACATAAGCTTGTTTTTCTATGGAATCAGTAAATGAACAAACTTTTCTATCGAGCATGTGTGTAAATGTAGGAGTGTATTTGTACTATACTTTTGCCTTTTGCATGCAGTGATGTGTTTGTAAGTAATGTTGGCAGACGATTGCAGTGGTGTGTTTGTATTTAGTGTTGATGTTTTAATGTAGGAAAGTATGGACAAATACACACACACTGCTGCACACACCTTCTGACACATATACAGATACACAATGGCCCACACACAGATACATACATTCTGACACAGTTAAACAAACACACTGACACACAAAAATACACATACATACTGATACACACACAGATACACACAATTACAAAAAGACACTCAACCCCTTCTCTCTCTGCCTTCTATCTCTCCCTGTGAGGCTCTCTGTTAGCTGGAAAGGACACCTAAGATCACCCACTGGTGTTGCTCCACCAGACAGTGCAGCCTATCTAAATATTATATAACTGCATGCACTACTACTGTTTACGTAGGATTAAATATAAAATGTGTAAATTATATTTCTAGCATTCCAAATGCTGTGCTAATTTTTGCTTTAGTCGTTCTGCCCTATATAAAATAGTAAAAAAAGTAGAAGGCTTTCTCAAGACGATGAAGGTAAAATGTCTATATTTGATTAATTTTACTTGTATCTGTGATTTATGATTTTACAGTTAATTGAGTTAGTTATATTGACAAGATGTAATTTGGAAAGCAAACCTTTAGACTTTCCAAAAACTGAAGGTAAATCTCAAAGCAAAAACGTATATTACATCTTTATAAGTCACACTGCATAGAAGAAACTCAATGGCCTTATTCATAAAAGAATTGTGGTTTAATGAACAACTGTTTAACACAACCATAACACAGTAGGACATAATTTCATCTTCCAGAATAATAGGAACAGTATTAGGTTATGTTTTGACAAGTGCCGGAACATTTCATGCAGATTTATTTTTAATGTGTAAATATATACCGGGGTAGTCATCCGTAACAGTAAAGTCAATTCAACATCTGTGCAATATCAGCTAATAATGTGTAACAATTCAAAAGATGTGCAGGGAAATAAAGTTTGATACCTACCCCAAATTGATTCTTTCCACATGTTTTGGCATTCTCGCCGGCACTGCTATGAGAGACCGGAATGTACAGTGGACTTCAGAGTTGACATAACAGGCACATGATTGTGGACAAGACAATGCATGTTGTGGAAACCTCAGAATTAAAAAAATAACAGCGAATATATGTATCCAATACATGTTGATTGAAGTCTTCCTTTCTGTTACTGTTTAAAAGTAAAAAAAATATTGTAAATAAAAGCTGCAATTTTATTAAAGGTTCTACTATAAATTTGTGTGTTATGTTTTTTCTTTGTTAAATGTAAGTTTAATTCTTCACATGAATTAAATATTTGCTTTGTACTAATCACATATGCTTCTGGTCAATTCACTTCCAGCACTCATGAGAAGTAATAGGAGGTTATTATGGTGGTTAGATGAGCACAGGAACATTAGTTCAGTATAATCACATAGAGCAAGGAGAAGGCCACTTTTTTCCACTCCAGTTGTTGTGACAATAGCAGTGAAGACCATAGTTATTAATTGCAGTTCAAAAACCCAAGAATGGAAAGTAGAAGAGAGCATTGGGAGAGATTTCAGTGACATCCTGTGCAGTTCAACATGGAAAAGCTCAAAGTGTCACTAAATTTTATAACCAGGCCTCCCAACATTTTGGCCCTATTTAGAGGTCTATCCTATTGACCTGACACCAGAGAACTGTTCACAAAAAGCATAGTGTGAGTGCATCAGCTTGAATTACACTTGGGACAGTGTGATCCTGCAGAGAGTACTGAAACAGTGCCCCTTGCATGGCCCGTTCTCAATGGCCAACCTGGGTGATTAGCAGGAAGCCTGACATGCTTTAAGAGGGACTGCCTATTTTTGAACATACTTGCTCCAATTTGGGTGGGTCTGCTACTTTGGGCAGTGCCAGTGATGTGATTTGCATCACTGGCCTACCTGATTTTACGCCTTCAACAAGGGCCTCATAAGCAGAATGACGATATTAGGGGTTACGCTTAACCAGAGAAGAATGTAAATCTGAAACATTGATTGTAACATTCCAAAAGACTTTAGTGGCAGAACTGCTATTCAATACCTATAGGTAAAGTTATCTATGGTCATGGAATCCTAAACCAACTAATGCCATTTAGAACATCAGTTAAAGCTGGAAACAACCACCAAAAGTAAAATCAAATTATAATTTCCACATTTCTTTGTGTTAAATTACACATTTATACAATATAGCATATTAAAATGCATATTTGTTACAAGATAATACTTAGTATACACATGTGAAGCACTAAATATAACATCTTGTAAATGAATAAGGTGACTTTTTTGTTGATTTGAATAATTAAACAATTTTCTCATCTATTTGCAACTTGAAAGTGATATATTCGTTGTAAGTGAAAAAATCAACGACTGCCTCTTCAAAGCAAGTTCTCATTCAATGATTAAATGAATTCTTCCCAAAATAAATGATAAAATGTTTACGTTAACTAGAGAAGACTAAATATTTAGGTGTGTAGTATGCAATATGGTTTATGGAACCTTGTCTGTCTCCCAGCATACCTAAAAATATCTGTAAAAAGAAATACGAACCATTGTATTTTTTTCAAGCTAAAACTTGCCTTAATATATTATTTGTCAACATGCTAGGGAAACCACTTCCCTTGGGGAGAGGCAGAAGTTTTTCGTTAGATTTATAATGTAGATAATGAACTACAGGACTGTATAACCCAGGGGGATAAAACATCATCCTAACAGACAAGTGAAATGATCTTTCCAACATTTGTTTAAGAAAAAAAAAAAAGAACTGAATGATTTAGTTGTAGCAGTTACGTATGAAGAGTAATAAGAAACCAGTAGTGAAATGTGTAATTTAATTTCCTTTTATAGCATAATTGTTTTTAGTATAAGGAAAATAAAACAGCAATACGACTTACTGCTGCACAAAAAGCATTAGTTATACATTGTGATTAATTATGGTGACATTCATCGTAATGGGCCAATTCTTATATTTGTAATTTATTTTCAAAGCGTTTTAGTTTGGATATATCTCTGGGCAAGTTGGCGCCCCCTTATAGCTGGAACACTCACAAAACTCTATATTTTGCCAAGTTATGGCAACGGTTCCCTTGTCTTGATTTAAGAACCATTTTATTCAAACATTCCTCTCTCCTCTTTTCCTTATAGACTAGTTTCTACAAATGAGAAAAAAAATTGCGACACGGTGGATAATTGAGAACGATTCTTGTCTTAAAGGTAAAAGCAAATATATTCTGCTCGATACTATATATAAATATATACTATGGATATATATTATCGAGCAGAATATGTGTGCTTTTACCTTTTTATGTATATATATATATATATATATTTATAAATATATATAAAAGTTAAAAAAAATGATATATATATATATATGTATATATATATATATATATATAACTAAAAAATAAAGTATGTGCTTTCAAAATTAATAAACGTATTACTTCCTGTAAAGCTTTAAAAATATATTTCAGTGTGCTTATAAAACAGCAGAAGACAATCCTATACACCATCGGTTATGGCAAAACAAGCAGCAAGTCTTAGTTTTCTCAAAACTTGGTCTTGATAATATATTATCTACATGAAACACATAGACTGACATTTTTTCCCATGTCTGTCAGTGTACGGGATTGCCTTTTGTATTTGTAAATGAACACATCATTTTGGTTTTTAATGCCCCCTGGGGATGAATGAAGCAGTTGTATGCATATGCGTTCAAGCCCCTTTTGTCATTAGCCCACCATTTACCATTTGTCTGTATTCACTAACAAGAAATTTTATCCATATAGGTTTCTGTCTCTCTTCTAAATTCAAGTTTTGTGAATAGACTACACTAAATGTTAAATTTAGAAGTGAAATCTCTTTAAATCCATGTGTGCTCATGTTTCCTACCCCCTACCCAATACTAGCCCTGAATTTTTTGTCACCATTTGTCCCTCCTCTCATAAAAGTTGTGATATTGTGATATATTGGTAAACAGATATATTACAGAGGATGTTTGACCAAGCACCGCACATTCAAGCACGTGCATCAGTCGCCAACTGTCTCCTTCATCCTTCAATGGAACCTACGTTCTCCTCAATGCTGGGCAGCTGTCCAACTGAGTCAATAAACATGACCACCACTCACCACACACACCAAGCTCTGGAAATACTGTACATTTGTGGAGAAAATCAGGCAATGGAAAATAGACGCAGTCCCCTGAAAACATTTTAATCTCCTTTTAGCAACAGGTGTTTTGTCTGAGCAATACAAAAACAAAACAAAACAGAAAAATACCCAAAAAAGAGATCTACAAAGAAGAGAATTCCTTTATATGAACTTGAACGCTACATATCATTCTGCTACTGCACTAATTTATTCCACACTATTTTGCTTGCTGTTGTACAGTGAAAAAATGTCTGTATCTATAATGCTATTATAAAGTAAGTGCAACACACAGACATCAGCATGTGCTGCTAATTTCAAAGCTTAAAAGTTCAAAGAGGCTGTTACAGATCAGAATACATATATATAACCTCTGTGGCAGTCTCTAAATACCTCAATACTGATTTGGGTTTAATAATTTTGAAGCCTACTGCTGAACTTGAAGTAGGACTAGTGTAAGAGTCTTTAATTATAACATAACGACCAGTCCATAATTAACATCATATTGAAATATGCTGTGCCTCATAAGGGATGTGGAAACCAGACGAGATGCTTGTGTAAATATAATCACAATCTATGTTCAGTAGAATTATTGTAGAGTTTAAATGGATTGCTGTCATAAAAACATTTTGCCTAGGCTCTCTCATAGAAAGACAGCTGCACTATTGTGCATGCACAAGGTTACAGCCATGATATCAGCTACTGCCACTAAAGAGCCAGGAGCAGAAGAGGACTGGCTAGAAGATGATGGCAGCACATGCAAGGGACATGTTCATGTAAATGTACCTTACCTTGCCCCCCTCACCACGACGAGACCCCTAGTAACAGTTACATTTTAAAAAGGTGTGAAAACAAAAGAATGAAAGGTAAAGGAAAACACTTGAAAATTGGATAGAACACCAATGACTAATCTCTAAACTGAAGATGTCTGTGAACTGTGTTTACCTTTGAAGCTAACAGAGTATTAAATATGAAGATCACACATATCTGCAACTTAGCCATTAAAGGCTGATGCTATGTTACCCATTTTGTTCTGCTTCATACATTTCATTGCAATGTAGCAGTTGTATTTTTAGCCTCTTGAAAAGCCTACAGATTAAAATGTGGTCAAAATAAACTCCATCTAGCTTTGATACGATTTAAAAACACATCTGGAAACTAAGACCACTTGCTTTCATATTAAACCACAATTCTTTTTTTGAACTCTGTATTCCTTTAATTTTCCATATTATCAAAGAGGAGAAAAAAATTATAAACTTTAGATAAATGCTGGCGTCGGCTTATATCCTGACTTCATCAATCAAAATCTCATTGACACTCTCACACTACTCATCTCCAAGACCAACATGCAGCCAGGAGACTCTTAGATTTCTCAGTTACCTCATTGAATACATCACACAGATTACTTTTTGAGATGCATGAACCTAATACGTGTTTAGTTATAAATGCTCCACAAATACAAAACTAAATAAAAAGGAATACAATGGATATTAGAGTATGTTTTGTACCTATAATGGATCATTGAAAATGAAATATTTTTTAGTGTAGAACCATATATTTTAGTATTACGCATCACTAAAAAGTATTACACATCACCAAATCCAGCTCTGAATTTCAATCCCTTTGTTTTTCTAGAAAGTGGTGCTTGGCATTACTAGCTCTACAATTTCTTCTATAATGGTACATGCTCTAAGGGGTTGTGGGTTTCCCAGTCCTACTGGCACTGATAGTAGCAACTCTGCCACACAGATACATAAAATCAAATTACCCACCCCCATTGACTTGAATTATTTGTCACTGCTAAAATTGTAAGGGCAGACATTCCTAATTTTGGCACTGTACGCCACCACAATGGATTGGAAAGTAATCAGCCGAGATGCAATTGAAGTGCAGACTTTCAGCTTTAATTCAAGGGGTTAAACAAAAATATAGTATGAAACATTTAAGAATTGTATCCATTTTCATACACAGTCCTCTCATATCAGGGGCTGAAATATAATTGTACAAATTAACACAATCATAAAAAATATGTACATTTTTAATACTTTGATGAGAATGCTTTGCAGGCAATGACAGCTTGAAGTCTGGAATGCATATGACATCACCAAATGCTGGGTTTCCTCCTTTGTGATGCTTTGCCAGGCCTTTACTGCAGCTGTATTCAGTTGTTGCTTGTTCGTTAGTCCTTCTGCCTTAAGGTTTGTCTTTGAAATGGAAACAGAGGGCTGTACTCACCTGAACATGCATAAATAGGGTGCTGCTGGGGCCAATAAGTTTTGTATTCAGCAAGTGAAATGAATACTTGATCAGGTTGCAATCAGGTGATTGACTTGGCCATTGTAGGATATTCCACTTCTTTGCCTTAAAATTTCCCGAGTTGCATTCACAGTATGTTTTGGGTCATTGTCCATCTGCAAAGTGAAGCGCCATCCAATCAACTTTGATGAATTTGACAGAATCTGAGTAGACAATATATCCTTATATGCTTAAAAATTCATCCAGCTGCTTCTGTCTTCTGTGACATCACATCAATAAACATTAGTGACCCAGTTCCATTGGAAGCCATGCTTGCCAATGCCATCACACTGCCTCCAACATGTTTTACAGATGATGTGGTATGCTTTGGGTCATGAGCCATTCCAAGCCTTCACCATATTTTTTCTACCCATCATTCTGGTATGGGTTGATCTTACCATATGTCCAAACAATGATGTTCAAGAACTGGACTAACTTTTTAAGATTGTTTCTGTGTAATCTGGCCTTTCTATTCTTGAGGCTTATGAATGGTTTGCACCTTGTGGTGAACCCTCTGTATTTGCTCTCGTGAAGTCTCTTTATGGTAGACTTGGATAATGATATAGGTAAAGATAAAAACAGGCTGCGCCAAATGTTAGTGTAGAGATGTTAAACACCACTAATAATAAAAAGTAGTAAAATATTATTTACAGAATAGTCCCAAATTCGATTGATAGAAGAAATCTTGATAGGGAATGTGAAGTACAGAAGGTATTGTAGTGTGTTCACCAGCTTATGCGGATTCTGTGATATGAAATGACATGGATGGCAAAATAGTGTAATATTGTATATTACAGCGGTGAGGAATAAGGTAATAGAAAATGTACTCACAAACAAGGAACTATATATTATCTCTCATGTATCAGCGTCTGACAATACAATCCATGTCACAGGATAAAGCATACAGGTAGAGAACGGACTGGCACAATGATGTGTAGACAAGGCACCAAAAGACACTAGTCTGCCCTCTCCAAGACTGCGCTACTGGGAGTATAACTAGTAAATACCAATAACAAGTAATACATAAAATACTGTACATACAATAAAGTAAAATAAAAGTTACAAAGTCTTCATAAACACATATAGCCCAAAAGGAAATCTGTTGCAGCTTTAAAGAAGAAATGTCCCAATAGGATTCTTGTGTTCACTGCTTAGTTGATGTGCCTAAAAAGCGCAAAACAGAGAAGGAGGGCTTTTATGGTGAAGTAAGTTTATTCAAAAATAAGTAACCGATTACAAATATGCTACATTAAAAATAAATAAAAGTAGATAAGTAAAAATACAAATACAAACTATGAGAAATATAAAAAATATATATAAAAAGTAAAATCTGTGGGTACTTGAATCACACACAATCTACTGTGATACAAATCCCACCCCGCCCCCTTGGACTCAACTCAAAATAGTGGTGTCTGACAAAGACAAGTCTGTGTGCTAGTGAGTAGAATGCCAGGTGATGCCTAATAATGTACAGGTCAGAGCTGGACAATGAGGATAACCGGGAGTGGGGAAATGTTGTATATTCCGTCCACCTAGATTGAGGTAAAGCTCAAGATGTGTTTGCAGAGCCAATATAATAGTTCCTCCGGCGGCGCGCCAAACAATACCGGGAACTAGTGGGTTCAGCAGATCACAGGGGACAAGAACGTTTGGAGAAATCGGAAATCGGTAATCGTCCGCTCCTTCTAGTTTCCTGAGTATGCACTCACTTCCTCAGGGAGTTTGGACGATCCAATAATAGAGTTATATACACCCTCCTTGATAAGTTAATTACGATTATTAAAGAGATAACGATACCCAGGATGAAAAAAGAAGGGAGTGTTTACTAAACTCTGTTTTAAATATGAAATAGTATAATAAAATAAGGAAATAATAACAGGAGTATAGATACTGATAGTAGGCAATACTTCTTAAAATACATATAAAGCAATAGATATGTGTTGCATAAAGAAGTATGTATATCCTTATTAAAAAAAAAGGTTCACATCGAGTACTACTTTTGTTTAAGACATACTGATTTAGTGAGCTAAAACTGTACTTAGACATTAAAACTAAGCAAGTGAATATTAAACACACATTGTTATAAAGTGAGCCAACATAGGATCAGAATGTTGTATCAAAGAGAGGTGTTAATAAAAAGTGCTAGTTTCACACAGCAGAAGTCTCAATCAATGAAACTTTGTAATGTATTCACTATATAAAATATAAGAATATGTAGAGGAGATGATTTCTTTAATTAGTCCTCAGGTATTGGAGAGGGAGTGATGGTACCAGTAAACTCTTCTTATGTGACAGAACATTCTTTGGTAAATAAAATATAAGTAAACAAAAAAAAAAAATGAAACCAAAATAAGGATATAAATAAAACTAAATAAAAAACTAAAATAAAATAAAAATGGAAATAAAAATAAATAGTAAATAAAAAAGATATATAATAAATTAAATTTAAATTATTAAAAGGCTGCTAGATCTAGGTCTTTATTAAGGACCCCATTCCTGAGTGTACCAAGCTTGAAGATCCAATATGATTCCCTCCGTCTGAGGGTTTTTAATCTATCACCTCCCCTGAAGGTCGGTTTGATTGCCTCAATGCCCCTCACTATTAGATCTTTTGAGTTAGCTCCATGATTTTCTGCAAAATGGATTGGTACACCATGATTAATACATTTGTTCTTGATTCCTCCTAGGTGTTCCCCTATTCTTGTTTTAAGTTTCCTACATGTGCACCCCACATATTGTTTGCCGCAAGGGCATTCGAGAAGATATATGACATATGATGTATGGCAATTAATAAATTGTTCAATCTCATATGTTTTTGCTTTGTCTAGAATAGATGTTTGACAAGAAATGTTTGTTGTTGTCTTTGATGGGGATCAATCCACATGTGGAACAAGCTTTCCGGTTACATCTGTATATTCCTTTCAGGGGAAGTATTGTTGCAATGGTCATGTTTCCTTTCATACGTGGCATACTTGGGGCTACAAGGTTTTTGATGGTTGTATTTTGTTTGAACACCACTCTTGGTTTATTTGTTTGCTCAATTTGCATAATATTATGACAAGTAATAATCGGCCAGTGTGTTAAAATGATCTTTTTAAATTCAGTGGCAGCTATGTCACAGGATATGCAGTAGAAAAACACTCTGAATCTTTTCAGGAACACCGGTATGTATAGTGACACCTTCACAACATGCGTGACTCACATAAAATATAAAAGTATAGGGAAATCCAATTTTGTAATCCAATAAAACAGCCAAAGGGTATATAAAGCATGAAGAGGTATAATTTCCGCTCATGGATATTTCTTTTGGTGAGTGTTCTTCTGTAAAATGGAATATCCATGACCAGGGATTATAACGCTTCCTGCTTTGACTAAGATCTTGAATAAATTTTGACCTAACTTACCCATGTTTGTGTAGACTCACTAATTTGACATTAAGCCTTTACCTCCAAGTCTACCAGCAAACATTTCTAGATAACAAACAATATGGAACTTAATTAGAACAATTAACATTTATGTGAGCTAATTGTTGATGAATTTTGGCTTTCAATTGGCAAAACACAGACAATTTAAGTCTGCAGCAATGCACACTGTTTACTAAAATATGCACGCTAAAATGTAGATCTGGAAATAGACTATGATGGTAAATGAATCAGCACCAGTATTTGACAAATTCATCATTCTAAGGTTTGTTATTGAGAAGATTTAATATGGCATGCTTATTTGGAAAACTGAAGAGTTTAGCAGTTTGGCAATTATGGACAAATCGGTAAATTTTTGGATAACCTTGTGCGGTTGCTATGTGTATCCTCTTGCCTCTCTCAAGGTACACATGATACAAAGCAGGATTAGGGGAGATACTATAAAACCCCCAGAAGCCCTGTGGTAGTAGCACCTTGTATATGTCCATTGGTAAGCCTCTTGAACTTATTTTGCTTAGTTAAAATCTTCAATCTACTTGCTAAAATGCTGAATTGGGCATTTACATTCTGAATTAATCAAATACTTGTTTATACAAATAACTCTGGGTAGCAGCTGACATTAGAGATTACACAGACTCTACAATGAAGGCAAGGAGAGGCAAGTGCTGGTCCTTTCATAGACAACACTATTACACTAGTTCATCGTGTTTGCTACCCTCTGCAGAATATGCAAATAGGAACTCGTTATTTTGTATGTGGAAAATATTCATACAGATTGATAAATAGCAGCCAATCACTATAAAGTCTAGAAATAACGAAACAATGAAAAAGATAATCCAGTAGAATTGCAATAGTGGAAAATAGATAAACATAAACAATTAGGAGGCAAGCTCTCTCACAAAACTGGAAGGCTGAAGTAATTACGTGGAGTAATTAAAAAATAACCGGTAGTCCATGATCCAACAACTATCCCAGGAGAACCTGTTTTGTGGTTTGCCAATTCACTAATACAAGTGCAGCAGAGTGGGAATAAACAGTAATTTAACCCCTTAAGGACACATGACATGTGTGACATGTCATGATTCCCTTTTATTCCAGACGTTTGGTCCTTAAGGGGTTAAAGAGGTTTCCTGGAGCACTTATTCACCGGAGCTAGAACTCTCTTCCTTTCCCCATGTATGATAGAGGGAGAGTAATTTATGAGTTAGGGGGCCAATGCACATAGATATGGCATACATATTTATTACACATTTACAGTTGCAAGAGTTTTCCACCTGCACTGTGAATGTTTACATGGTGTGTTCAATAAAAACATGGCAACATTTCATTCTTTGTGTGTTATTAGTTTAGGCAGACTGTGATTGTCTATTGTTGTGACTTAGATGATGATCAGATCATATTTTATGACCAATTTGTGCAGAAATCCATATCATTCCAAAGGGTTCACATACTTTTTCTTGCAACTGTATCTCTTTACTTATTATTTTTACATATTTCAGTGCTGTATGCCTTTATATTGTTTCATAAAATTATGGGTAGAACATTTAATGCACAACTGCTATAAATGCTAGCTGTCCCTATCCGTATAAAAACAAAGAAAACTACAATGACACCTTGTTACAAAATCTTTTGGAAAATCTACTTCCTTTAAAGATTTTACACCTCTTCAAGGATTATGACTAGATTGCAAAATTACTTTTCCAGCACTGATGCTCCCGTCATAATATTTCCCATTGCTAACTCAATCAGACAGAATTTCAGAAAGAAAAATATAGCTGTTTAGCAGCAATGTTCAGACTGTTAACAGTAAATAATACTTTTACTTCTTGTAAACTGTCTTCCAGATGTAGGACAATGATCTACTGTCTCCATCATCAGTTTAGACTTATTCCAATTGGTACATATTACTAACATTGCCTCAGTTATGTATTAGTCATGTTACTTTCAATGAGGCAAATGTATGTGGCAATCTAATAACAATTTAATGTTTTCGGCAATGAATCATGAACACAGCATAGTTTTGTGGGTTTTCAAATTCTCTTAAAGGGTACCTGTCATCACATTTATAACTTACGCTCATCTTAAAAAAAAAACAACAATTTTCTTTGTATGCATTGTGCTAGCGAATTTTTTTAATAGATTAAGAGAAAATTCTATTTAAAAATAGGTAATCCTCTCACCTGTCAATCAATTCTTCAGCATAAACCCCATGCCAAAGAATTGAGTGACAGGGAGAGAAAAAGAGACCTCTAACAGGCAGTTCTTCTGCTCGCCGTGGATAACTGACAGATTGTGTGCTGTTAGCTGGCTAGGGAGTATAGGATTATTGGGACTCTTGTCACTCCATTCTGACAATAATGCCAGTATGTTGGCGTCTCACACGAGGTTTGTTTTGTTTGGACAAATCAAAGAAGACCATGGGTTGAGTACAGGTGGACAGGAGATGGGTGTTACAGAAGTGCAAAACCTACCTCTGGGAGGACATGGAAGCATTGGATGGGAGGATGACATGGGCCCATAACAAGTTAACTTTAGATATACAAAATACCAACTATACAGTGACAGCAGATTTATAACAAGGAACAACTTAAAAAAATATGCCTTACCACTTTCATTAATCAGTTTTTCCACATGTGATAACCCCTGCATATCAAGGACAATTGTAAGATTGCACAGTATTTAAACATTCTTTCTATTTTCTGATCAGGTAATTAAACTAGAATAGATGTGTACAACTAATTGTTTTAAAAACAGTGATTTACTAAAGTGAGAATTGCCAGGAATTTTAAGTGAATTTTCAAAATTCAGACCAAAATAACAGAATTAGAAATATTTTCCAAGTCAATTCTGATTTCAGTTTGGCCTTACATTTAAAATGGATTTTGAATTCCCCGAAATTCTTTAGTAAATAGCTCTGCAAATTTGTTTTAAGTTAATAATTCATTCTTAGATTTGTTTGGAATGCCTCATTTTTAAGTCTTCCTACAATCTATGGATGGTAGAGAATAAAAATGGGGAAACACTGCTATCTACTAACCAAAGAATCACCATAAACCATACATTTTGTATGCAAGCCATTTTTAATTTGTGATCATCTGATTTTTTGTCACTGCTGACCTAAATTTACACAGTCTGTAAATATGTATGTTTATTTATTTATTCATGTGACCTTTACTCTTCTCCAGAATGCTTTACAAATTACAATACAAGGATTTACAGACAGAGAAAAGGTAACTGGAAATACTGACGTGAAAGAAGAAGAGAACCCTAATCATGAGCTTCAATACACTTCCTGCAGCATTCCCAGCAACATGCTTTGGAAGACAGCTTGTGAGCTTACAATCTAAAGTGATAGTATACTTTGAGTAAATAGTTTGCAGGGTGAAAAGCAAATCATAAAATACAGTTGTTCCAATTCACACACATTCGTGTGAAATCATTGCAGATGGCTTGATCATGTTCCTTCATAAATGAGCTGTGTCATCCTAATGTCTGGGTATTTGCTTGTACTTTTTTTTCCTCTAACTGTGTCTAAACGTCACCCAAAACATGCCTAATGAAGGAACCTTAGTGCTGAAAGCTTTTAAAATATCTCTTTCACCAACCAACAAAGGTTCACTTATACATTTTTGTAATTGTAAACTCAATAAGTATTTTAAAATGCATTTCTGCTACAGGTGCCATGAACCCTAAGTACGCCTCTTGGAGAGACCACTTCTCCAGACATCCTGTGGTGAAGACAGGGTGGAAGTGAGAGTAAGTGGGTGTACGGGAGAAGAGAGATTACCAGGTGCAGTCTGAAAATCTAGCTTGGTCATGTGTCAAGGGTCAGGTTGACTTTAAATAGGCATAGTTGCATCTGGAGAGGGACAGGTGAAGGCCAGGATAAATATTACATTGGGGATAGTGGGAGGAGTATATGGTCAGGTACACTGAAACCGTAAGGGATAGAAGTGTGTCTTTAGGAGTTTGTGAAAAGATGAGAGAGAGGTGACTGAGCACATGAAATACAATTAATAAGAACAGGAGGGAGCACAGAGGTGTGTTGGGAGCACAGAGGTGTGTTGGCTGGGCAAGGGATGCTGAAGTGAGGGCGTGGTAAGGAGGGGCAGAGATATAGCGGGATATAAGTGATGAGTTTGATAAGAGGTAGAGAGGAGCAAGGTTATGGATGGTTTTGCACAAAGACATTTGAAGAACAGATAAAGAGTGGAGCTTTTGCAGGTGAAGTCAGGCATGTGTAGATTAGAGCATTTGAGAAATATAGAGGTCACTAAATTTAAAAAGCAGGTACATGGTCAATAATGAACATATTGACTATGTTTTATTTATTTTCATGTAATTTGCAATGTGAAATTTAGTTCATAAGGCTTCACGCACCCTCATTTATATTCCAGCAATAACTAACAACTTGTAAAGGAACATATTTCTCTATTAGAAGCCACTAGTTACTGATATAATTCCTGCAATCTTGTTGAAAATGTAGGATCACCCTCAGGTTTCAAATAGTCTAGGAGGTTTTAATGGGCCACATAACTCCTACAGTAGTCAGGAAAGGGGGGGGGGAGGGAGTGAATAGACATAACAATTTTACTGTTATTATTTTATGATTATTTTTTTTAAAGCCTTCTCTACATGTAGAGATTTCTGGTCTCTCTCTTGATTCCACATGGCTGATTATTTGTTATTAGCTGTCTTAACACGTGTTATCATTTGGATTAGCATTTTATAATATATATACATTTTATAATATAGTTTGTCCTCAGTATTTATTGCTCTGTTTTCTATATTTCCTTAAGCGTATTTTGAAGAAAAAGAAAAAAAAAAACACTGTGAACTTAAACAAAAGATAACATATGGCTAAAACCTCATCACAATTTGACAGTGTTTTACTGTCACAAATAACCCTGTGTTTTCACAATCAAGTGACAATTTGGCATGAAACCTGTTAAGGTCTGTGCATTTGCTTGTAAATACCATCTTTGCCCAGTGGAATGCAGAACGTCTTGCTTCCATGTTTTTCAATTAGTATGCATTTTGTCACAGCTATAAAAAGATATGTAACATATGGCACTTCTGCAAAAAGTGATTACAATAGACATCTTTTATTTGACACTGTAACCAAAATAAAAATAAATACAAAACAGCTCAAATTTTAGTTGCCGATATGTTTTATAGGCCAAACAATATCAAATCTTAATGCCATATCACAAAAATGCAGAATCTGTAAAAGTTTTTTATTTTTTCTAATTTGGCTTTTTTAGCATGCATTTTGTTATTTTTTTTTACAGGTTATTTGTTAACTCATCAACTCAACAAATATCACTGTTTAGTGAACAGAACCCACATTATGCTTTTATATCTGACAAGTATGGGTTAGCAAATATAGCTCTTTTTCTAAAGCTTGTATCTCAAACTCTGCCTCATTGGCAAAGAGGGCAAACAGGGTATCCACTGAAGCTTCCACCATGTGATTTATGGAGGGCTGATAGATGGTTTGACTTCATCATGCCCTTGTCACCAAGTAGACCGCAGTGTTGCCACAGCAGAAAGTTGACAAAGTGAAGCAGAGCTGTCAGCAACAAGTGCAGATTATATGCCAACAGGATGTCAGCAGAGTTATCAGGATTAAGTTAGGCAATGTACAGAACACTGGTGAGACCTCACTTGGAGTATTGTACGCAGTACTGGAGAGCGTATCTTCAGAAGGATATTGATACTTTAGAGAGAGTTCAGAGAAAGGCTACTAAACTGGTTCATGGATTGCAGGATAAAACTTACAATGAAAGGTTAAAGGAACTTAACATGTATAACTTGGAGGAAAGACGAGACAGTGGGGGATATGATAGAAACATTTAACTACATAAAGGGAATCAACAAAGTAAATGTGGAGACTATATTTAAAAGAAGAAAAACTACCACAACAATAGGACATAGTCTTAAATTAGAGGGGCAAATGTTTAAAAATAATATCCGCAAGTATTACTTTACTGAGAGGGTAGTGGATGCATGGAATAGGCTTCCAGTTGAAGTGGTAGAGGTTAACACAGTAAAGGAGTTTAAGCATGCGTGGGATATGCATACGGCTATCCTTACTATAAGATAAGGCCAGGGACTAATGAAAGTACTTTAAAAAATTGGGCAGACTAGATGGGCTGAATGGTTCTTATCTGCCGTCACATTCTATGTGTCTATGTTTCAATCAGAAAGTCATATAAATTGATTAAAATCAGCATGTCTAATGGAGCTCAAGCAATGTGCAACTGCTCACCAAGCCAGTCAAGCCCTGCCCTCTAATTTATACTTTTTTTTATCAGACTGACGTTCAGAACTGTTGGTTCAGATCGTACTGTTATCAGACCGACGTAGCATACCTGCTGCTGCAAGTTCAGCTAGAACAAGAAGTGGTTACAGATGTCCAGTGGCATACTAGACAGAAGAGGTAAGTAGGAAGACATGCAGCAGTGAGATGCACTAACCACCACCATCTAACCAAAGCAGGAATCTGCCTACCAGCTGAGTTGCCTTTCGACAAGGGCTCGCACTGCCTGTGCAACTGTGCAGACCAAGCAGTCATTCCGTACTAATTCTAGATGCCATATTGTAACATCATCCCAGTCTCAGTACAGACCTACAGAGAGCTGTGCAGTCACTGTACATGCTGATCCCAGCAGCATATCACTGTATCCCATGTATATTGATCTAGATAAAAATCAAATGAGTGTGTGTGTATGGATGTTAGTATGCATGTGTGTACAAATTCTGCAGAACTGTACAATAGGTGGACTAACAAACAAATATTTAAAATAAAACGAGGTGTTGAGGGCCCTGCTCAAATGAGCTTACATTCTAGAGGTAGAAGACAGGATTACAGGATGCGCAAATAGTTCAATATAAAACTGCAACTTTAAAAGGAAAGACAAAAATCCAAAATAAAAAGTCCAAAGGCAAATACAAGATAAAATACCAGGTAATCAGACACAGTTCCGCAATAGCAATTCTTTTCTTAGATTTTCGTATAATTCTCTTGAATAAGACTTCATGTATGACTGCGTATGGAAGAGAGCAGAATATCAGGGGAAACCAATAGTGCAATATGTCACTAAAATATTAACATACAACACTTGAGTCCAATTGCCAACTCACACTTGATGGAGCTTTAACCAAAGTCCAATTGCCAACTCACATTTGATGAAGCTTTAACCAGCTGTGGAAAAAACAGCATACAGTGGTTTTTATTATGTTATTATTATATTATTTATATAGCGCCATCAAATTCCGCAGCGCTTTACAATGGGTGGACGAACAGACATGTAGTTGTAACCAGACAATTTGGACACACAGGAACAGATGGGTTGAGGGCCCTGCTCAATGAGCTTACATGCTAGAGGGAGTGGGGTAAAATGACACAAAAAGGTAAGGATAGTATTAGACTAGTGACACTTGCAGAAGAGGAATCAGTTTTGACCCCCACTTGTAGGATATCCCTCTGGTAATAATTCACAACAGGGTGGACCACATAGGATAGAAAGGAATAACTATGTGGTGCTCTCCATATGGGTAAGTATACATGATAAATGGAAATAAAATGAGCAGACAAAACACTACGTTTCAAGCGTGGGTGGTATAATCCCCTCCTAGGATTCTTTTGATGGTTGTCTGCAGGTATTATAGGTTATAAATCCAAATGCCAGGTTGGAAACAAAATACTGAGGATAAAAGTAATAAAAAAACAATGTTTTTATTACTCAAAAACACAATAAATCCACAATGCGTTTCACCCTTTGGGGCTTTAACAAGTGGAAAAAGATGCTTGATAAAGCCACAAAGGGGTGAAACACATGGATTTTTTGTGTCTTTAATAGAAGTACGAATGCTTATTATTTTTAGATGACACAGTTGCAGAAGAGGAAATTAGGTGGGTTTTCAAGGTGTGGGGGAGGAAAGCTATTACCTGTTTAATTGATATGGTTTCCTAAAGAAGTGAGTTTTCAATTATTTTTTTAAAGGATTAGAGAGTGCGTGAGAGTCTAATGGAGCAACAAAAAGAGTTCCATAGGAACAGTGCAGCGCTAGAGAAGTCTTGAAGGTGTGTGTTAGAGGACACACTTGTGTATTAGTGACGATAGGTTGATAGGAGCAGTGTTAGGAAGAGATTTGTAAGCAAATACAAGTATTTTAAATTGAGCCGTACATATGAATGTGCATGTGTATATGAATGTTTGTGTGTGTGTATATGAATGGAAGCTTGTATATGAGTATGTTTGTGTATAAAAATGTGTATGTAATATCGCTAAAAAGAAAGATGTTATTGGCAGTGTAGAGTGACACCCCCAAAAAGGTCTACAGTTAGGGTGGTGCCAACATACACTCCCAACCAGGGTGCCTGGTAGCCTAGGCACCTCTGCAGTTGTCCTTAAACTGATTGGTGTCTAAAAAGGATAAACGTTTGATGTGTTTTAAAACACATATACTTGACTCTGAGAGTTTTTCCAAATGACAACATCAGAGAGGAAAAGGGAATTAATTAGCCCCGCATGTATTTTATCAAAGCTTGGGACAGATGGGAAACGTTGGCTCCAGGAAATGAATGCTGTTTGGGGGGGTATTCTTGCTTATATGGGCATTTAGCATAAAAGTGTTTTTTAAGATGCTTTTTACTTGTTCCAGATTATGTACAACGTGTACAGCAATGAATGCAGGAAATTGGTTAGTGAGACAGAGATAAAAACAATTAGATCTCATGCAAAAGAGGTCTGGGATTTAAAGCCAATAAGGTAGCAGTCAAAAACTTAGCTGACAAATTAATTTGCAATGCCCATCTTAGATGTGTTTTGGCATCTCTCTAAATGCAACAGTTCCACTCATGTTATTTTCTATGTAGACTGTGAGTTGTATAAGCTCTCTTGTAAAGCAAGCTTTCATTTAAGTCAAATAAAAGTAGTACGATCCTAATTTATTAAAGAATGGTGACTTATTTTGTTACCCATAACAAAAACTATTTTACACTTGGATCAGAGGTTGCTTAATGTTAATATATTAACAAATTAAAATAAAACAAAACTTAAATGGACACTTAATGCCAGAGCTGACTGTTATTTTTAATGCTTGATACAAACAAATGAATGACTTCGCATGGAAAAAAAAAATCTAGATTTGATACAAATCCCCAGGATGTACAGCTTCTACTGTAAGCTCTTCACAAACCAAGAAGTGGCTAAAACTTCTAATAGAAGCTTTATTGCAACCTATGTCAGGGTGATGAAATTATGCATTCACTTTGCTTAGTGAATGGAGCTAGATGAGTAAGCACCAAGCTTGTCTTTGTGGGAGCTCTCCAGAAGTAGTAGAGACTTCCGTGGGTGGGATTGCAAAACTTTCCTTGAGCGATGAATACTCCTGTAACTATAGAGAGTTTTGGAAGTCAATGCATTTAAAAGTACCGTATTTTCCGGCGTATAAGAAGACTTTTTAACCCTGGAAAATCTTCTCCAAAGTCGGGGGTTGTCTTATACGCCGGGTATAGGGTCTATATGGTTGCTGGGGGCACCCTGCGCCCTATCGCCGGACCTTCTAATGCTGCAGCCGCCTGAGCGCTCTATAGAGAGCGCTCAGACGGCTGCCGCACTGCCTCTCTTACCTCCCCTTCCCTGTGCAGAGTGGGTGGCTGAGCTCCTCTTCCTCCTGTCAGTCCACTGAGTGCTCACTTCCTTTCAGTCCGGCCAGGAACAGGTAACTGAATCTCCTGTACCGTGCGGTACCCGGCCGGACTGACAGGACGAAGAGGAGCTCGGCCACCCACTCTGCACAGGGAAGGGGAGGTGAGAAGAACGTAGGGAGGATTGGGGAGTAAAAGAACGGAGGGAGTAATAAGAATGGAGTGGGGGAGTAAAAAGAATGGAGGGGGGGAGTAAAAGGAATGGAGGGGGATTAAAAAGAATTGGGGGGAGTAAAAAGAATGGAGGGGGGATTAAAAAGAATGGAGGGGGGGAGTAAAAAGAATGGAGGGGGAGAGTAAAAAGAATATATCGCAATTAGCCTCCTGTGTGCTAGACCAGCAGGCATGGATTATATGCCCAAACAGCCTGGCACATACCTGGGCTTTAAATGCTATTTCAGATTATCATTATTTAATGTCTTGCTGTGTAGCTCTGTCTGCTCACTGTACATCATGGCTAATTTTTATTTGGTGTGCATTGGAAGAGGGGTAGTCTTATACGGCGAGTATATCCCAAACTCTATATTTTAACTGGAAAAGTTGGGGGTCGTCTTATACGCCCAGTTGTCTTATACGCCGGAAAATACGGTAAGTGCAAAACCCCAGGAAAAAGGAAGTTTCTTGGACCATAACATATGCCTGAAGCATAGACTGTAATGGGACTTGATGTGTCCCTAACAAATAAGTACATTTTGTTTGAAGAACTAGTAGCAATCTCTGCATAATATAATGACTTTTTATTAAGTGCCGTTATTACACAAATATATACACAAAACAGAAACAACTTAATCCGTTTTTTAACTTGCCTTTCCCTCGATACATTTTTCATCTAAAAAGTACCAATATAATTAATATGTTCTATGAGATACAATTAAATGCCACCATAATAACAAGTTCCATACCAGCTTAATGTGTTTTATCTCACGGGTGTATATATGGCAAAAATAAGAAACAGAATAAAAGAATCAGAGGCTGGATGGATTCATTAGAATGACCTACATAAAGCTAGATCACATATTTTAAGCCATACATTTGTTACAAAACAAATATTTAAACAGCAAAAATACAATTATTGTCTATGTTTTGCTATTTTAATTTTTGTGGACATATTTTTATTACTTATTGCTGTTGTTTTGTTTTTAGTTTAATGTTCAGTGGTTGACAGTACAGGACACATGCAATACATATAATCGCTAGAGCTAATTTAATTCCATAAGAGAGCAGCCTATTGCAGCAGACTTTTCACGAGCCGCTTATGCATGTAGAAATTACAAGAATGAAGTTCCACACGGTTGTCATGTGATGTCATTAGCATAATGACATCACATGGGATTTTCCTTTACTTGGTTTGGAGCCAGACCAGGAGACATCTAATGCTCCACAGTTCCTTCAACTACATTATAGTATAGTGGAAAGGCGGAATATGTGTCAAGTTGGCAACAGTGATACCAGACTTGCCCTGATCCTAGTTATACAAGCCAAGATGCATTCAGTATCAGTGACTAGGAGTATCAATTTCCAATCTACCAACATGATTGACCAGACAACATTTCTCAAACATGTTTAAACTCTAAAAGCTTGAACGGTCAGATAATGCATACAAGTTTTCAGTTTTCTTAAGACATATTTAGTAAAAGAATAATAAAGTTGAGGATGCACAAGAACAATTTTTTCTTTAATGTGGATAAAGGCACGATTAAAAACATGTGGATAAAGGCACGAGGATTTAAATAACACTACTAGGAGTAGTAAAAAACACTAATATTTAACAAATGTCAGGAACTTTTTAACCCCTTAAGGACCAAACTTCTGGAATAAAAGGGAATCATGACATGTCACACATGTCATGTGTCCTTAAGGGGTTAAAATCAACTGGGCTACTAAGACTTGAGATTTTTCTTAGAAAGGAATGGGACCATACCACACTACACCCAAAGTTAAGAACTTGCAAAGCAGATGGTCATAAGGCAATAATTGGCTCTGATCCATATTATGTTGGGCATTATGTTTTTTTGTCCACCACATGCAAGAAAATGAGTAATACATTACTAATAGCATATAACTGCATTAAAAAATGATGACACCCAGTTTATAATCAGGTGTGAATGTGTTAGATTCATTGATAACACTGTATTGGGCTTCCTAGGTTTGACCAAGACTCTGTATCTACTTCCACCTCAGGATTTCAGGGTCAAAGGGCATTTTTGTTTTACGTAACACTTTAGGAATAGTTAATCCCAAAATTTGCTAATGCAGTTTCAGGTAAACAAAAATCAGAGTAACATGCAATTAGTATTTGGGATAAATTACTTTTTTTTGTGCAAAATCCTGTTTGGCAACCTACCTCTTGGTTGGTTCTACTGGTCCAAACTGAAGCCACTTTGAATTCATAGAAAATGGACCTAAATAACCATAAATGCCCTCGGGTTGGGCAAATTACCACAGAAATTGTCAGAGTATTAAATCATAAATATTTCTTAGCTAGCCATGGCAGAGACATTCATTTGCTGATGTCTGTAGATGCAGTTTTTTTTTTTAGTTTGGTGTGAGAAAAATAATTGATTAATTAATCAATCAATCAATCATTTAAACTTTAAAAAAAGACCCATACTTACCCCCTCCACCCCCCAGATACATAAGAAGACTGGCAAAACCCTATGAGCTAATAGGTCTTATAAAAATGGTATCATATCCCTTCTCCAGCACATGCTGTAAAGTGGGAGATTTAAAAAAAAAATCAAAGTTATGGATCTAGAGGATCCCATTCACAGTGGATGGCCCCAAAATCTCTACACCTCAAGTATAGGGGTGTGATTGTACGAATACCCATCACCTGGCTAAAAAAGCTAGTGCCATTAACAGTTCAGTTGGACAAACTCCCATTTGCATATCCCATATGTTTCATGGTATGCTATGGAATCCCACATCCCTCTAAACATATGCGTCCCCCATTTTAAGTGTTAGGATGGTGCCTAGTCCTGTAGAAATATTAATGCATGCCACCTCTGTAATGTGTACCCAGTATATAACATTCCTAACTATAAATAATAAAATTAAATTTAGAGAAATCGTATGCAATGGTAGGTCACTCACAAACAGAGAGCAATAATTTGCTCTAATATATACAATCTGAAATGGAAATAGATCTTCGATTTCATTTTTGTTATTTGAGTGTAAGAAAAACAGAGGGAAACGAATAACTAAGATAGATAGGCAGACAGACAGGCGGACTGACGGAAATATAAATAGAAGATAGATAGATAGATAGATAGATAGGTATTGACAGACATATTAATAAATATCTATTAACTGTACTAAGAGGGAAAGTTTTAACATTCTTGGTGAATCCATACGAAGCAATCTTTATAATGGGCTAGTAAAGAACTCATCTTTGCATTGTATCAAGATTGGGTGATCTAAAAAGCCCCCGGACAGGTTAATGATGCTATGTAGTGTGTCCATTTAAAAACCCATGTATAGAATGGGCTGTCAAATCATTTTATACATAGGGACTGTCATCTTTCCCTTTCTAGTCTGACACATTTAGGGGGCATTTGATTTAGTACAGAGGTGGAATTACTTGGCAAGAATTTCCTGAAATCTCTCCAACTGAGAAAAATACAGAAACTAATGACTTAAGCAGCTATATAAGCAGCAGAGGAAGCCTTTACTCCTTCTGTTTTATTGTCTCACTTCTCTGTCTAGTGGGAGCCAGTGTGTTGGATGTGAACACACCTGCCCCCTGCCTGCCATTTCTCTCACTGACACATGATTCTCATTAACCAACTTAGCTACTTAACTGAGTTCTAATGAACACCATGTACCCCTACTACAGTTCAGACTTCACTATAAAAGGCTGGAAATCTGAACAAGCCAGGGAAACAGTAGTGGAAAAAAGAACAACTATTTCATTATGGATTTTTTTTTTTTTTATACTTGATGATACTTTCCATTCATAAGTCTAGGCATATATTTTCCTTTATTCCATGTACTGCTTTTGGCATAGCAATCTAAGATTACTGTAGAAAACATCACATGCTGCACAATAATGAAATGATCTATACACCTTGGTTCTTGTAGATTGTTTTTTTCTTAGTATATATTGTTAGGACATGAATAAAAACAGCAGTAACAACAAAAATAAAAATATTTAAATAAACATTATAATAACATGCACATTTAGATTCCCCATATATATTACATATATTAAACTTTTTTACTACAGTTTACAAGATTTTTATTTATTTTATGAAAATGTGTCCCTTTGCATCCCATAACTTCATATTAAGTGATTTTATAAATATTAATAAAGTATATCAATAATTGTGTATACGTGTACAGTAATTATTAAGTAATAATGTGCATATACAAATGTATATATTTGTAAGCTGTGTGTTTGTTTATGATATTTGTATTTCATTTTAAAAGTGTTGGTTGAAAATTCAAGAATGTATAGAAATATAGCTTACACTACCTGGATTCTGGTAAAACAAAAAAACTGTCACAGGAGGCTGTCACTGTCCATCTCCCAGTTCCTGATGGCAATACATAGGCTTAGATATAATTAGGAAACTGTGGTTAAGATCATTCAGCAGAGAAGGCTGTGCAAATTTGTAAAAAAAAAAATAAAATAAAAAAAGTTTAAACATGTAAAAATCCGATTACTGGCTTCCTTTAAACTCTCAGTTCTTTGTGCTGGTCATGATACAAGTCACACTATCCACTTTGCAGAACTGCACATGACTATGTGCAAAACCAAACTTAAATCCATTGAAGTCCTTTCATCACTCAAAATTAATCCAAAATCTTTAGCACAATGACTCCAGGACAGAGAATCAGACTTGGCTCTTAGATCCAGAGAGGAATAAATTTAGGCAGCCTGAAGCAACATTTCATTTCAGAATAAAAGAGCACCCACTATAATTTTAGCAGAGATCCAAGATAAGGAATAAGTAAGGGTAGCAGCATGAACCTTGAAATAAGGACGGATGCCCTACTCCCTCCTTCTTTTGTGGAGAGTGTTAAGGGAGGAGGGAGCTGCTGCTGTGCCTAGCTCACTTCACTGTTTCATGGTGGGCGTCTCTCTACAGTCAGGAGCTGATGTGCAAAGATTGGGGAAACTTACTGGGCATGTTGAAATGAGGTTGCATGGACATTGCTAAGTGATGCTACAGGCAGACAGGCTAAAAACTTTAGAGAAAAGTAAGGAAGAAATATTCAAATTCAAAGACAAATGTAATTTAAAAATAGAAAACATTTAGCAGTAGATTGTAGATGTTGCAAGTTGCAACTCCCAATGTGATCAAACACACTTTTATTTTCAGTGAAATTTATACAGTATCCCACATAATTACACATTAACACTTACAAATAATACTCTATTCTATGCAGCATAATGTTAAATTCTTTTGTGTCAGATTCACTTTATAAACAAACTTAAAAAGCAGTGAGAATATATGGCAATGCTGTAAGTCTCCTGCATTTATATAACCACAGCATTTTAAAATGACCCTAAATGTGCATTTAAAATGAATGGACAGGAAACACAGTGAAACCCCTGCTGCAGGTTTCGGAGGTTTAGAATTAACAAAGGGGCTTATTGTTAAAGGGGTATAAAGATTTGGGGTATTTGCCTGGAAGGTGGTAGACATTGATTTACATGATTTTTGACAGTGAAGCTAAGGGTTTCTGTGAAAAAGCAGTGTTTACATTTGTCACTAATGACACCTCAATTTATGTCACTCAGACAGCCACTCGTGGTGCTTCTGATTACAGTCCTGCAATCTTTGCAGGACCAGGTTTGGCATCTTCATGCTCTGCATAAGGACCTGGAAATGCAGTGGGATAATGTGTCTTTATGTTGAGATGGTGATAGTGCAGATCAATGATTGTCGAGCATGCCCAGCTTACCCTCCAGTCTCTATGGAGAATAGTTGGCTGGGCTGCGATCATAATCACTGATGAAGTCCGCCAAGGTGAAAATTGGCACTGCATGGGATTAAAGGTAAATAAACTATATTTATTTAATGGTTCTGCTTCATCTAAAACCGCAGGACAGGAGAAAAAGCTAACTTCAGAAATATTGTATTCCTAACATTAGAGTATCAGCCTGACAGCCACTAGATTAGTGTTTTCAGACAAATGCAACATTGCTGTTTCTCAAGAAACGGTAATATTTTACTTTGTCTGAAAAACGGGACTGTGTTTTTGAACCTAAACCACTGCATTTAGTGGTTTTGCCACTGAGAATGTCCCTTTACTCTTTTTGTTGCACAGGGCGCCATGGACCAGGGGGCGCCCTGTGGCCGACACAGCTCACACATGGCGGATTGCAGGGGAGCTAAAACAGGTACCAGGTGGGGCTAATACATTCCCAATACCCCTGGTAACTGCTGCACACGAACTGCATCCACTCCCCCATACAGCCATAATGGAAAGAGGTAAGTCTGTGTGTGTGTGTGTGTGTGTGTGGTTGTGCATCTGTTTGCCTGTTTGTGTGACTGCTTGCTTGTCTGACTGCCTGCCTGTGTGTGTGATTGCCTGCCTGTGTGTGTGTGTGTGTGTGTGTGACTGTCTGTGTGACTGTCTGCCTGCCTGTGTGTGACTTTCTGTCTGTGTGACTGCCTGCCTGTGTGACTGCCTGTATGTGTGTGACTGCCTGTGTGTGGGACTGTCTGCCTGTGTGTGTGTGTGTGTGTGTGTCTGCCTGCCTGTCTGTGTGACTGCCTGCCTGTGTAAAATTATAAACCTAAAAATGTAACTAGAAAGATGCCTAACTATAGATTGTTTTTCCCATACATTTGTCCACTGATCACTACTTATTAGTTAGTGGATTTTCCACTGTGAATATAATAGTAATTCTCCCTTTAATTTCATGCTTGTGTTTACAAGGGGAAGAAGGCAAATTAAATATGCTGACAGCTGGATTTTATGGGTTGTGCTCACCCACTATCTAGCCTACCCTAAGATGAGACACAGTCGTCACCACCGACCCCGACCCTCTGAGCTGGCCAAGTCCCAGGAACAGCAAAAAAGTGACAGTAAAGTCTCTAAAACTGCAATGTTTTACATTGCAAATTGCAGGGCTTAGGGGGACAGGGACACTGCACCCAGACCACTAAAATGAGATGAAGTGGTCTGGGTGCCTGTAGTGTCCCTTTAAGTCCTTCCACCCCCTACAATACTGAGCAATTCCAGAATTTTAATAGCAAGACGTACATTGTTAACTTACAGAAAATCCTGTTAAAACTACAAAATTTACAAAATAATATTAAAAAAATCACACAAAAGGAATGAAAATCAAACAAAGTTATTACTAAACAGTGATTAATGCTTTGCTTAGACATTACTAACCATAGTTTTTTCATTGTAGATAAATGTGAATTGTGTAGCCTAGATTAAATGTTTTTGTTAAGAGAACCCCTCCACCCCCTCCCATGAGAGCTACTGGATTACTTTTTTACTGCCTCATTTAAATACTTAATTTTCACAGGTGTTTTCTCACTACTGTCACCCATCTGTGGTTATTTACAAAACTATACATGGGAACCTGTTTTCTAAATAGTGTTGTAAGCTTGATAGTGTTGTTGTTCCTTCTCTATTTCTTTTTCCTTCACTCTTCCACAATGTCCCATGGGGACCTGTATACATGGAATCAACTCACCAAGACCCACAAGGTCAGTCCTGAAAAAATTTGTAGGGTCATACATCACACAGTGCTTATCACTTTCCCAACATTTGAGAGCATGTTTCTTACCACCCCTCTTACTCTACAACCATGCTGCCTTCTTTCATAATGTTCTCTATTAATGCTAAGGAGCTAAATAGCTCACACAAAAGGTGAATGATTCTACTCAAAGCTGTGACCTTTCTGACTGTGATTTTATGCTGTCAAGAAAGTCAATTCTGCATACAGTGTCCACCTACATTTTTATCCCTGCAGGTCAAGATGTGTATCCATATTGTTTCACAGAGATTTGTCCTTTTTATTCATCAAGTCAATATGGCAACCCCAAAGGCCACAACCTCATTTTGGTAGGCCTTCTCAACAATAAACCCATAATGATAGCATCCTTATACTCACCTAACGGAAACTAAAGCCCATTTCTCAATAGATGCCTCAAACGAATCAAACAAATTCAACAAGGAAGACTTATAGTTGGTCACTATAACTGTCCCCTAGACCAACAAGCATATGGTAGAGACACAATATTTGAATCCACAAAAAATACTCATGCATTGATCTTTGTCTGTCAGATACTAAACCTCTTCAGACCCTGATCAAAGTCAAACTTAGACTTATTACTTGGTCCCATCACCCCTTCATTAACTTCCTTTACAGCTCACTAGCCGGCCAGAGGATTGGATTAATATCTTAACTACAAATGCCAGGCGTCAAAGAACAAATTTCACAAAGCTTGCATATGATGACACATCAATCTCTACTACATGACTGGCTCACAAAGCCTACATTAGAAGCTGACAATAAACCTTATTTTGGAGTTGTACAACTGTAAGATCTTTGCTGAGATACTTTCCAATATGCTGAAAAGAGACTTGCGTCCATCAAGTTCAGCCTTCCTCACATTTGTTTTTTGCTGTTTATTGTTGATTGTTCTACCCAATAGAACAATATTGGGTAGTCTACAGTGCAGCACACAGATATATAATCTCTGTAATGGCACGTTGTTCTTATGTATTTGTTGAAATCCAATAAAAACGATACATTGGAAAGAAAAAAAGCAGGGCAAAATAGTCTAAAGCAGATGTGTGTATGAATAAGTTCTGTGTGCATTAGGTTTTTCTATTGCTGCCATTTTCATAAATACTTTTCTCAATGTTTATTTTATTTTCTGGTCAAGCTGAATTTGAAAGTTACTCAATGACCATGATTTATATAAAGGCTCCCGTGAATTTAAATTATATCACTATAAATGTGACACTGAGGGGCTGGAATACTATTACATATGTTTCAGGCATACTGACAATTTGAATAATTTCACTGATCCAGATTAAAACCTTAGCATGGTTGTGCTTTGTCGCAAATTAGACATTTCATAAATGTATTTATTTATTCGAAAGCCGCAAAAACACTAAATGAGTCAATGGCTTTATTTTTTTTCACCTGGAAACAATGTCCAGTATTGAGTTGGCAGAAATGGCTAGACCATGTGTTCGTCATCATAGGCTGGAAACCATGAGCAAAGAAATCCAAAGAAACATAGATTTAGGACTAGAAAAGGACACTCCTTTGGCTGGATTTTTTGACAAGACATAGGGCTATCACTGGTTATATATGAGTCACTTTAAAACTGTTGACAAGGAAAAAAAGCAAAAGTCGTTAGTAAGGAGTAGGGATTTAAAAAGAAAGCAAAAGTTGTTATCATAATGGTGTTGTTTTGCATCCTTAATAAATAAATTTGCTTCAAATTCAAACCCCAGTTAAAAAAAAAATATATGAACAATTTGCCCACTGGAGGCACTTGTAGCCAGCAGTTAAGTAGTTAAAAAACCCTTGGTTAGCATGAGGTATAATTATGTGGTGGCTGGCCCGCACTTTCTAGTCAGTCGCAACTTTACATCGTTTCATATAAGACCTTTTTATTACTATAAGGGAGTTAATAAGACCCTTCTATTACAATAAGGGAGTTTTACAACCTCGCTATGCCCTATTAGATGTAAGTAGGGGAACCTAGTGTACCACCTGGACCCCAATTACCTAGCCATCCCCGCATTAAAGTCTGAACTGAGCCTTCTAGGGGCGAAGATGGGTTATTTTTAATGTGTTCTTTTTTATTGTTTTCATCTGTTTCTTTTTGTTTGTCAAATCAAGTTTTTTTCTATCTTTGGCTATGGATTTTAATTGGGTACTGAAGAAAAGAAGAGTTAGGAGAAAGAAGACTTCAGATGATGCGTATATATATTTTTTTATTTGACATGTTTGCGTTTATTGTCCCCCCCCCCCACCCCCTGA